CACTCGAATAATATGGAGTATTTTTATCTACCCATTATTACCTTCCTCCAATAGTATGACATTCTCCACCACTCATCTTGCTCACATACCTTTTAATAGAATGACATTGTCGAATGTAAGTTTCATCATATTGTTGAAACTATTTGCACCCTTTTTACTACCACATATGTGTCTCTATAGTTTTAGGGAGATGCCATTCTTACTATTGTCAACCTCATTAACTAGATGTCATTTTCCGTTCTCCAACATTAGATTTATTTTTCTATCTTTTATCTTACCCTCCTCTTTCACTTACCTACAAGTATATTTAGTTGTGTTTTATTTATTCATCAGCTTGGGCTAGGTCTAGATAAACTTGCACCAAAATCTATGAAGTATATTTTTCTTGGTTACTCTTGCCTCTAGAAAGGGTATTATTGTTATTATCCTTTGACTCATCATTATTTTGTGTTTGTAGATGTTATCTTTTTTGAAGCATCTCCTTTCTTTGAAAAATTTGCAACTACTTCTCCTTCTTCATGTGACTTTAGGCCCATCTTGTCAATATTGTTTGAGCCTCTTTTTTCACTAGTCTTCTCTTGTTGTCTTCATGTGTCACATTTTCTCCTTCATCATCTACACTTGCCTCAGCTTGTGATCCTTCTTTGTCAGATGGTTCTTTATTTGCACCATCCCTTCTGCACTTTAACACTATTAGCCCCATGTTCACCATCATTTTTGTCAATTATTGACCTTCCAATCGCCCTATGGAAGATACCCCTATTCTTGTACTAAATATTATATTTCTAACTTTATTTCATATTCTCATCTCACCTCATCATATCTTGCCTTTCTTTTTAGTTTGTTCTTTAATTTTATTCCCAAGAGTGTTTCTCAAGCATTGAATCACCTTGGTTGACATGTTGCATTGGTGAAAAAGATTGAAGCCTTTCATCGTAACTTGTGTTGGCACTTGATTTCTCATTGCTCGTCTACTCTTATGATGAGTTATCATTAGGTATTTATAGTCAAGATGATTGTAGATGGTTCTATTTATTATCTCAATGTTCACTTGGTGGCTTGAGAATTTTCTTAGATATATGACAAGACTATATTGAAACTTTATCTCAATGGTGAAGCTTACTTCAATTCATATCTTGCTGGTGGTTGCAGTCCACTTCTTATGGCCTCTTTACTTGTTGGACATAAAAATTATGTTTCTTCATGTTGACTTTGAAGAGGTATATACAAAGCAACTTTTTGATTTTATTTTATCTAACTCACCATATTTTGTGTTATATGTAGAAATTTATCTTTGGGCTGAAGTAGTATTATCAAGCTTAGTTTAGTTGTTTCTACATACTAGTTTAAGATTTTGATTTTTGTCAAAGTGATGTTGATCCTACCATATTTCATCATTACATTATTACAGGTTATGTTATTCTACTTTTCTATGTTGACAATATTATTTTGACATGTGATGATAAACAAAGTATCTCTAGTTTCAAAATCTTTATTTATAGCAAAATGATGATAAAAGATTTAGGTCAATTTTAGTATTTTCTAGGCATTGAGGTTGTTTGTTCTTCCAAACGCCTAGTTATCAACTAGTGAAAATATGTGCTTGATTTATCAAAAGATGTATGGATGTTAGGTGTTAAATATGCTCCTACATTGATGGATCTAAAGGTCAAGTTGCTTTTAGATTTAGGTGATGCTTTTGAGGATTCAAGATGATTTCATCGCTAAGTGTGGTGACTAAATTACTTAGCCTTTACTCATCTTGACATTTATTTTGCAATCAGTGTGGTTAGCCAAGGTGGCCAATCCATGCACTACTCAGTAGGACGTAGTCATAATGACCATTTGGTATCTAAAGGGACATCTTGGCCAATGACTTTTGTACACACTTTCTTCTTACTTTGATGTTTATGATAATTCGAATGTAGACGGGGCAGATTTTCTTATAAATTGGCACTCTATTACTAGCTATTGTATCTTTCTTAGAGGGAATCTTATATCTTGAAAGAGTAAAAAGTAACATGTAATTGTGTTGTCTAGTGTTGAATTGAATATCAAACTATGTAGAGTGTTATGAGTTTATTATGGTGAGAAGATTGATGTACATATTAAGAAAAGAGGAAGGTTATCAACACCACAATATTTTAGGACAAGGTAGAATGTGAATAACAAGTATGTGATGTAATTATTGACAATGATAGTATCAAAGAATTGTTTGTTCTAGTATAAAACTATGGCTAGAGAAAAAACCACACCCATAATCATTTCAAATTGGGTAAATTAGAAAAAAATACTAAAACCAGGTTTTTAAAACTTACATGGTGAATTTTTTTATAGAAAAAATCATATTGATGAAGTTTAGTACGATATACTTGAACTGGATGCTTGCATAAGATTTTAAGAAGACTCTAGTAATTTAATAATGATGCCATGCATCATGTCAAAGATAATATTTACATTTTCTATAAAAATGGCCAAAAAATTGTCTTAGTCCCAATGAAAGAAATAGATTCTGTAAAAGGTGAAATGAAGAAAAAAAGGTAGTTACATTCATTGATTAAGAGTTTTTTTTAGAAGGCTAGGTGAGGAATTCAAATTATTTCTAGTTGTCTAAAAGTTAGATTCAGAAATCAAATTGATTGAGTCTACTCTAGAATAGATTCAAAAGGTGTTATTTGAATTTTAAATCATACAAAATATACTTAATCATGTTAATCCTATGGGAGATATCAACCATCATATTGATTTAATTCTAAGATCAAGTTTATCAAATTTTTACATTACAAAACATTCTTAGAAGAAAATTAAATTCATTATGAATAAGTGGAGGAGTTTTTTAACCAAAGGGTTGATTAAAGAAAACATGAGTAGGTGCTTCATACCTACTTTGCTAGTTTTGAAAAAAGATTGAAGTTCACATATGTGTCAATAGTCCAAAGCACAATTAATCATAGGTTTATAATTTTACATCTAGGTGATAGGTGATATGTTTTATGATTTAAAGATGTTTTCAAAAATTGATTTAAAGAGTAGATATCATCAAATCTGAATTTGACTAGAAAATGAGTGGAACATTACTTCTAAAAGAAAAACAGATCTTCATGAATGGTTGACTATGTCCTTATATTCCTCAATAGCCACTTTTACATACCATTTTATTTTTGTCATTTTTTAAACTTGATTAGAATCAATAACATTTTTCCTACCTTTACAATTATATATCTATAAAATAAAACCATTTTCTTCTATTAGAATTTGTTGAATATCTTTATAATTTTATTTTACAAAGATTTTTATTTCCTCAATTTTCTCTCTAAAACTTGCATAGGATCCAAGATAAGCTAGAGGAGGGAGTGGGGGGTGATTGAACTTTTTTGCTAGAATACTATTTTACTTAATATATATGTTAAAAGTTTTTGTTTATTGTTTGACATGATGTGTTTGTTTCCTATTCACATGTCCAAACATGTTGAACAATAATAATTTGTTAGCTTTAATCAATCAAGATAATGTAGTGTTAACTTTATAAATATGACAATTAATATAAACCAAGTAATATGATTAATTATCTAAATCTACTATAATTCAGATATGAAAGTATGGATAGATAAAATTGATTAAATAATTCAAATCATAGACTTAGAGTGGTCCAATTCATTGCTGACGTTCACCATTTTAAGAACTTCCCTATTCCTTGGGTTTCCACTAAACTACACAAAATTTTGGTTAATTTTAAAAAGTTAATAGAAGTTCATCTATTAATGACATAATCATTTGTCAATTGATCTTCATAGATCTAACACACTACACTCAAGGTTCCATCAAACTCACTTAGAATATGGTGTTGCATTAGGTTTCAATCTAACAAGGATATATGATTAAAACTTTTATGATCTGAAGATTTTTGAGTTTTGGATCTAATAGATGGGATTCTCCTTGTTGTGTTTACTAGGTTAGATTTCTCACTTGAGTTGTTCTAGGAACTTCAGAAATTCAGCTTCCTTGAAAGAAAGAGTGATCTTCTAGACCTTATTTTTGAACTAATATTATATAGATAGGTGAACATATATATAGAGATCTCTACCATTATTTTCCTTCATTTAAATAATAGTAACTTAATAGTTTCTAAAGTGTTCGAACATTACCATGCTTTGTCATGTGCTTGCTAGCTAGTCTAGGAAAGTAAACATTAATCTTTGAAAAATAAGATGAAATCAAAATCTTAACACTTCTGTTTTCAAATCTTTGAAAACTTGTTAGGTAGCACATCTTGTTTTTGAATCTTCATCTTTCCCATAAACTATTTGCATACATATATCAAGGAGGAATTGTAAAGTCTAAACAAGTATTTGAACTTGTGTGTTCTGGTTTAAAATGATAAGATGATTCAATTCGGCTCAGAATGTAATTGGAAAGCTATTTCTAGTAAGTCATCCTGAATGTAATGTAAAAGCAATTTGAAATCTGTCACGTGAAAAATCAAATTTATAAATGTATGTGTACTTTGAAAACAGAAGAAATGAATTAAACATTTTAAAATCTTAACATTTGAGATATTATAATATTTAAACTCATGCAATTAAAATGCTTAATTCAAGAAAATTATTCAACATTTAATCTTAATAGTTAAAACTTTGAGTCTTGACATTGAAAATATGATGACTTAGGGCATTATGAACTCATTCTATATAAATTATTTTATGCCATGGTCGTATCTATTTCTCTTAAAAATTGCAGACTTCTTTAGTGTGAAGATAATAACATAAAAAAAGGTCCTTTCTGCATCCATAAGAGAGAGGAAATTAGACGACGTACATGCCCACTTTCTACATCACACGCTGCTGTTGCTGCTGGCGTTTATTTAGTGACCGGCCACGTATCCACCTTATACATAATAGTAGATACGATGTATTCACAGACACGCGTACGGTGCGCGAAACGCATCACAAACTCTTCACGAGAGGAGATGCCTGTCTGTCTTCTTGTTCCTTGCCTTTGCTTCAGGAGATGTCGATGGCGCGGACGGTGGGCTGGCCGCCGACGGCTCCGAGCCTCTTGGGGACGGTCACCGTAAGGACGCCGTGCTCCAGCGAGGACCGGACGGCGTCCATGTCGGCGTCGTTCGGCAGCCGGAAGCGCCGCCGGAACTTCCCCCGGCGGCGCTCCACCCGGTGCCACGTGTCCGTCCCCTGCTCCTCCTCCTTGCTCCTCTCCCCGCTGATCTCCAGGATGTTCCCATCCTCCACGTGGACCTTCACCTCCTCCCTCCTCACCCCTGCAGAAAACGGTGGCATCAGACATCAGAGGACGGGGGCGGCATTCTAAGAAAGGGAAAAGGCGGCGCTTCGGACCGGGGATGTCGGCGCGGAAGATATGCGCCTCGGAGGTCTCTCGCCAGTCAACGAAGGTGTGAGCGATGGCCGTGGTCTCGTCGCGGCCGCGCCAGCCGGGCTCCCTGAGCCAGCCGCCGCCGACGACGGACGGGTCCCACACCTCCGAGAAGACGGGGTCAAAAGCCCGTCCCCCGCCGCCTCTCCACGGGATCAACGAAGTCATCTGCGCTGCCTTCCTCCTCTCTTCTTTCTTCTTCTTCTTCTTCTTCTTCATCATCATCTTCTTCGTCTGCGCCTTTTATCCTACGCGGCGGCCTCCATGCGAGGCGACGCGTCTGCGAGCTCTCGTGGCAGGAGTGGCGGCGCCGCCGGAAACACGTGTGGGGGTCGGCAGGGCGGGGATGACGAGTCGTCGGTGCTCGTTTACAGGTGTTTCACTTCATCAGCGCGGATTTATTTATCAATAGCCCGACAAATCGTACGAATTGCGATTCTATCCATGCGAGAAAGTTCCGAGTCAGGAAGTTGTTTTACAATTATCCATTTAATAAGGGCATACATGTAAGGCTCGACCAGTTGATATCGGAGTCAGTGTATGGGCCTTTTCACGGGCTTTTTTATGGGCCTTCACCGAGGGCCAATATATTCAGGTCCGGCTGTACCTGGTTTTCCGGGCTTTTTTCTTCTGGCCTGGGCTAGTCCAACGGGCCCGTTGAGTAACGCCATATATAATCCCGGCCTACCCGCAGTTCTTGGTCCTCTCTAAACCCCTGAGCGTGAACGACTCCCGAGTTCTGTCGTCTGGTAGAACAGCCCAAGGGAAGTAGGGGCGAACGAGAAGAGGAGCCCACGGTGAGAAGAGGGATACGGAGTGCTGCTGCTACTGCTGGACTCAGTGGGGGAGGAAATGGCGACCGTAATGCAGAAAATCAAGGACATCGAGGATGAAGTACGGAAGGAGGGATAAAACCCTACTTTGAACCAGCCTCTGCTCATTTGCTTTGCCCATCTTCTTCGTTTTGCCCCCCTGCTCGTTTTGTCTCATGAATGGTTGTCGAGGTTTTATTTTTGTGTTTTTATTGAACTCAAATCAAGAGTGTCATGCGGGGGATGATGTGATTGGTTGGTGAGATGGGGATTAATTTGTCCTGTTGGAGATTGACTGCTTAACAATTTTTTTTTTTAACAGAGTGTACTATTTTTTCTTTTTTAATGAGGCTTACTGTACTCGCTGTGGAGAACTTTGTATTAGGTGGATTGAATTTTCTTACTAGAATGATTATTGGTCTGGTTTCAGATGGCAAGGACGCAGAAAAATAAAGCAACTGCCCATCACCTTGGCTTGCTGAAGGTAATCTCTAGTGCCTTCTCTTGGCTCTCTACTCTTGTTACAGGCGTCTATCTACTTAAATTTCGCCAATGTTGATTTTAATATTTTGTCATACTGAAGGTATCTCTCAAGTGTCGCTGTCATTATTTTATTCCTTTCCATTCTCAATAATCTGGAACTGATCATGACCAAAGGCTCATTATCTGAGTGTAGATGTATCACCATTACATCATGTTCTATTATGAAGTGAGGCTGGGGCTATTTCATAGAAGTGTGAAAGGATAATTAAATTTTTTATAAAAAATAATATGTAGAACTGTACCATGCATCCAACTTTAGTAATCGCTAATAATTGTCACTTGGAAAAAATCAGAAATCCAGTAGATTGACCTGCTTAAGGAAAAAACTATATGGTCGTCTAATGAATATCTATTTAACTCTCATAAATAAACAGACAAATTTGGCCAATTCTATGGGAAATAACCCATAAACATTTTGTGGTACCCTACCTGGCTTTTGTGGAAGAGGATCCCCAGTTGTACTGTCGTGTTTTACCCATTTTCATTTTATAAATGACTGGTAGTTTCCAGGAATTGCTCTTCAATGATATAATTTACTTAGTAGATTGTCATAGTTTCCTTTTACAAGCCGAGAAAGCCTGTTTTGTTGCGAATTAGAGCTTCAATCCTTCCTTTGATAGCTTGTATCTTTGTTTTTTGATTATGGACATCTCCCTAAGTAGATATATCTCCCTGAAAGGTTTATTAAGTGTCAGGAGTCGTGACAATTCAATACACTGAGCATGGTCCATTTGCATCAATCAAGGAACTTCACTTGACATGTTATTAAATGTTATACTTGCACTTGACAGTTTAATTCGTAAGTATTTCTACAAAACATGTATTGCAACATCGTTTTTACTAACATTAAATTACTTATGACTTTTATGGCATGGAGTATCTTGAAGAACAGTTGTCCCTTGTATTTCTTTCTTTCTATCCTTACCAGGCTAAACTTGCGAAACTACGGAGGGAACTTCTGGAACCATCAGCGAAAGGAGGTGGTGGAGCTGGTGAAGGTTTTGATGTCACTAAAAGTGGAGATGCACGAGTTGGCCTTGTAGGATTTCCATCAGTTGGAAAGTCAACACTTCTTAATAAGTTAACCGGCACTTTTTCAGAGGTATTACCGCTTAGAAAAGACTTTTATAACTATTTTTCTCTGAACACCTTGTGTCTCTCATTATGTGTTCCCTTTTGGTCCTTTTTCCTAAATATCATTATGGTGTATCAGACTTGTTTATTTCTAAGTTGTGAAAAAGTAATGTCGGTTGTGCCAGTTTATATTATCTTTTGGATTTGTGAACGGAATTCTTTTGAAGAGAGGGATTTTTCCTCCATCTTCTGATTCAATAATTTGATCATGATATTATAATACATCAACTTGTTTAATAATTTCTTTTGGGGTCTCTATTCTCTCATAGGATTTTTGTTCGCAATCTGGGAAAGTGGAAATCATTGTGGGTTTTTCCTTTTTTATCTTCTGGTTTTATGGAGGTAAATTTACGAATCAGCCTATCATTGACTGTTTATTAAGGACAGAACAACAGAACATAATCTGGTTACATATATGTAGTTGGCATAGATGTACTTTTATGTTTGGTAGTTGAGTTTGGCATAAGTTATGAAGGTGCATCACCAACTAAAGGATGTACGTCTTGCCTATTTTTTCTAGGCGACAAAGCAGTTTTGCACATTCCTTCCTGAGATACATAAATTATTTTTAGAAATTTTGATTTTCTCTTTTATGAGATAATTGATGTTGTTCAGGAACAGAAAAAGAATCACCCCTCAGAATTTGCAAAATTTGTTTAAAGCATCAACTGTTATAATATGAAATGGTAATAAGTGGCGGGTATAAAACATTGTTCCTAAGCAGCATAGATTTTTATGTCCTTATTTCATATCACATAAAAAATTATGGTGGTTGAACACTCCTGTGTCTTATTGTCCTTTCTGAACTTCTCGAAATTTTTGAACTCTAGATAGTTAGCTAAAGCTGAAATCTTGCTTGGTTATTATTATCTTTGTATCTAATATTGGACGCTAGTGTCTTATTTTTCGCCTTGTAGAGAAATTGGTCTGGGAGCTGAGATTTCTACCGTATGTGCTAGAGTTCCCCATGCAGTTGTGTTGCATGTACTCTAGCTGCATTCACTCATGTCGTTTACATTTCCTTGTTTTCTTTTCATCAAGAGTATATTTGGCGGATAGTTGGATCATCACTTATTAATTCAACTGTGTGGACTATGAGAAGATGACTTGAATGGTCTTCACGCTTTGAATGAATATTTCTGTGGTCTAAAAGGTTTTTTTATTTTACATTACAGGTTGCTTCATATGAGTTCACCACATTAACATGCATTCCAGGAGTTATTATATATAAAGGTGCTAAAATTCAGGTACTAATTATTTCCTTTTCGTTTCCATCCCAGAAGAAACGTTTTGAATCTTTGGTGTAATTTATTTTTATGGATTAAGACCTTATTCATTTTATCATCTTTTTGAAAAGGCATCCTACACTGACTTGTGGTAGGCACCCGGCAGAAACCTTGTATATTTTCTCACAATGCATTATGCAGATCAAATTCGGCTAGAATTCTCAATACGCATTGCATTCACAAATTTTAAATCACAGTGGTCACCGCAATGCTGAGTTCTACTGTTGTTGCTCAGGATTCATTAATCTAGTTCTTTTGATGAATTTAGTAGCCTACTGTAATTTGTCTTTTGTTGACACTTTAATGTTTAGGTGACTTAGAATACTTGTATAAACTACTGCTCTAGTGGAGTCTGTTGGGGGGGAGAAATAGACTCACTGCACGATAAAACGACATTATTTGACTGGGAAAGATGTATTATGTTTACTAGCTTCTTTTGTGTACTTGGGATAAACCATATAATTGATCATCCTTTTAATATTTGTTTGGTTCGTCATGAGAATAAAACTGATCGAACATAAAAGTCACTGACATAGTACTACCAGTCGAATTTGCTTCATTTTAGTTTAACGTGAGAAATTTAGAATTTTTAAGCACCAGAAATAGGATCGTTTTTTTACGGTAGAAAGATTGATGCTCGAACCTCCGACAGAAAGAATTTCAATGCATGCGTTCTTTCTCTCCTCCCCTCAGCCACACATCTTTTCCGTTCGCCCCCCCTTTATCTATGTCACCGTCTCCTCAATGAGCGTAGATTGATGAAGAAGGCTTTTGTGCCGGTCAATCTGTATCCTATTCTTCTGCACTCTACATTTAAGATAAATCTCTTGCTGCTGAAAATTAGCAAGCTTTTGTTTTGCTCTTAAAATGCTCAAGTATGTTACTGTCGAGTTGAGAATTAGTAAGTCTCTGTTCCGTATTTAAAATGCCTGCTCACTTCATCCTTTCCTTTCAGTTGCTTGATCTACCAGGGATTATTGAGGGTGCAAAAGATGGAAAGGGTAGAGGAAGACAGGTGACTATACTCTTTTTAAACTAATTAGACTTTTGGTTTCATGAAGCTCTTATACCTTTGTTGTGCATAAATGGTACACTTATTATATCTAATGATTGTTCAATGCTTAGATGTAATTTCCTGTGACCTTTTCCTGTCTGTTGTAAATTTTGAAACTAATAATTGCAGTTAAGAGTGACTTGCCGTGTCATTGAATTTCAGGTGATTAGCACTGCAAGAACATGCAACTTAATTTTAATTGTTCTTGATGCAATAAAACCAATAACCCACAAGCGATTGATAGAAAAAGAACTTGAAGGATTTGGCATAAGGTAAAATCGTATGTATCCTTTTCTATTGCTTTTGTTTTTCTTTAAATCTCAAATTTTGGTTAACACTGTTTAACGATTTTTTCAGTACCCATCGAATTGTGAACTTGTCTCTTTTATGAACTTGGGAGCCCTCAAAATTTGAAAGCTGTTTATTGATTAACAAACAATTTCATGCTTTTTAAAAATCATAGGTCTCCATTCTTTTAGTGGTGCATAATATTATTTTTGTTGCAAGAGATCCGAATCTTTTAATCTGTAAACGTTTATAAAATGAAATCGAGTCTCATAAGCAGTTATGAATGGATGAATAGACTGAAGTTATGAGTTATGATGTTTTGGGGCCCAGGTCTTGGTACTTAAAAATCCAACTAATCCTGACTGCATTTCTTTATCATGAAATGGTTTACTATTTCCGTAAGTTTTAAGGTATGCAACTGTGATTATGCAACGTTTTGCTGACATCGCTGTAATTGTCTACAATGACAGATTAAATAAGGAACCTCCCAATTTGACTTTTAGAAAGAAGGACAAAGGAGGCATCAATCTCACATCCACTGTTGCAAACACTCAACTTGACCTGGAAACGGTGAAGGCTATATGCAGCGAATACAGGATTCACAATGCTGATATAAACCTTAGATATGATGCAACCGCCGACGATCTCATTGATGTTATTGAGGGCAGCAGAAAATATATGCCCTGCATCTATGTTGTCAACAAGATCGATCAGATAACAGTTGAGGAGCTAGAGATTCTTGACAAACTACCACATTATTGCCCAATAAGGTGAATATTTCCTTGTATCTTTACTCACCGTTGTAAGTGTCTGACATCTGATTTCATTTAGAACCTTGAGCAGTCAGAAACGACTTGGAATATTGCCCAACGCTGAAGGATTGACCCACCTTCAAGGGCTACTTGTCTATATTTCTCGTATCAGTATCACGACCATCATATTCAATCACCTCTTTCGTAATCTATTTCTGGGTTGGGAACGGGAGTAATCTCTGACGGTTTCCTACCGCCGTTCTGTTTTATTTTATTTAAACGACTGGTTGCAAAATGGGAGATGAGTTTAAGGCCGGCAGCAGTGACTTAACTTTCTCACCTCTTCTAATCGCTGATTTTGTCTTCCTTGCTGCAGTGCACACCTAGAATGGAACCTTGATGGGCTGTTGGAGAAGATATGGGACTACCTTGATCTAGTTCGCATCTACACGAAACCAAAGGGGATAAATCCGGACTATGAAGACCCAGTTATCTTATCGTCGAGGAGGAGAACAGTGGAAGACTTCTGCGACAGAATCCACAAGGACATGATAAAGCAATTCAAATAGTGAGCATCCTTAATGTCCTTCTCTATTTCGACTTTCATTTTCCATCCTCGTTCAACCATTGACGGTCCTTTTGATTCATCAGTGCTCTGGTTTGGGGTTCAAGCGCGAAGCATAAGCCACAGAGAGTTGGCAAGGTCTTCTATTCAGCGCTCTTTCCCTTCCCACGTCAAAGCTTTAGTTTGAGCTTTCTCATGGTCCTTCAAATCGTGCTTGCAGGAACACGAGCTTGAAGACGAAGATGTTGTTCAGATAATAAAGAAAGTGTAACGCACACGTCCATTAATCGTTTCTGCTGATTCTCAGAGACCAGATGATATTGGCTGAGTCTAATGGAGTACTCAGGAGGGCTCACTGAGTATCTCTACACCCATGAAGTAAGGCGCCAAAATGTGTAAGCTGCTGTGCTGATATCTTCTAGATGGCCAAGGCATGTGTGTTTCATTTTCTTCTACCCTTTCTCTCTGGTCTGTATGGGTAGATTTCCTATGTGAAGAATTTTCTGCACATTGTTTGCCTGCTCTCCTGCACTCTACGTGGAGTTCCTGTCTGAGGGAAGGCTTCTTCAGGTCCATAATCCTGCTGCGGGGGGGTAAATCCTGGGTAAGGATTCCGTGGAGGGCTCCTGGCGAGGAACCCTAAGGTAACGTTGAGGTCAGGTCCTGTTTCTCACTGGATAATGTGGGATTTTATTTAAAAGGTGTTTGGATGAGTCTGTGGTGGCATCTAATGAAGGATTGGGACTGTGGAGCACTGACATCTTGGGCATTCTCTGTGGTTAAATGTTGACTGCCATGGGCCACTGATGCTTTAGAGAGCGGGCTTCTCTCTTTTCTTACCAAATACAATATTAGCTTTACTGACTGCTAGTTATGGGTCGGATGTGGTCTCTCTCTCTCTCTCTCTCTCTCTCTCTCTCTCTCTCTCTCTCTCTCTCTCTCTGTCTGGAACAAGTGAAATGCATCAATCACGAGCATAAATGGTAGCTTCCAAGAAAATAGGATGTAAGTGTTGCAATGGATTCTATTCTGGATCTGTTCAGCTATTAAAATTCCTGTTGTGCCCACTCTTGGTGGTGCCATCGGTGTTTATACATCGTCAATAATTTAGTAAAAGGTTGTAGGAGGTATCTGGAGACTAGTAGTTGAGGACCCATCAATAGATTGGGTTGCTTTTAGGTCTGCTGGGTGATTGATAGTTTGCAATAAGAGGGAATTCTACTAATGTAACATTTGACAGGGTAATTTAGCTACATAGGATAGTGAAATCATATTTGGTGAATAGAAGTCAACGAATGATTAGAGTCAACTCACACTTCAGTGAATGGTGGAAACACAACCAAGAAGTTAAAGCTGTAATAAGATTAGTGGCTTGCCACACATGCCCTCTCTTATATTTGCTACATCATTACCAGTCTTGGATGGCTTGCCACACACTCAAGAGTTGGAATTATGCTAGTTATTTGGTACCATCACAAGATAATTAGGCCTAATTAGCTTAGGCATATGACCAATTGAATAGTTGCAAGTTCTTTTCATACATTCAAAATAAAGGATTAAAATAGCCTCTATGGGCTTCTAGAATTTAAGAAATTAAGTTAGATGTCCTTCATGCTTAATAAGCAAAGCTACATTGGTGGTTTTCAAAAATAAGAAACCATGCGTCAGAAACATTTGCCAAGTGCAAAAATGACACATTAAATTTCTAATTGCACCAGAAATTATTATGGATTAAAAACATAAACTCACTTTTGTATTGTCACAAAGGCGTGGGTGCAAGTGGCTAAGCATGTAAGACTTGTATTTTGGTATGTTAAAACTATGGAGTCAAAAAGTATGGAAATATGGAAAATAGCAATGATAGCAATGATTGCATGTCTTTATCAAAATTCATCCTCTTTAAAACATCAAAATGCCTCGTTTCATTTGGCTTCATGTGCAAATCACTTCAAAACATCAAAATTCATCCTCCTTGGTTCCTCATTGTAACCTTAGCATGATGGTGGTATAACTACTTATTTTCCTGAAATTAATGCCATAGAGGGTATGAGCTAAGCACTAAAGTTTGTTAGGGGGAGGATGAACTGTTGTAGATATGGAATATAGGCAAGGAAATAAATTGTCATAAGTAAACATGGACAAAAAAATCATGAAACTTTATAAAGGTTTAATCTAACTCTATATTTTACACTCCAAGTCTTGATAGACCGTAGATTTTGCTAATCACATAGATTAAATTTTACTATGTCAAAATTAAAAATTGATTATTTTTTAAAGATTTTTATTAATTCAAAATTCAATGTCTAATCACTGGACATTATAGAGTTTAAATCGTTACATTTAAATAGAAACTTTAATCACTGGACTTTTTATTAATTTATTCACTATGCTCATATTTCCTAATAACTTGCAATCATGATTTGGAATCATGACATATGATTATTAAAGAGCCTTGATAACTTGTGAAATAGAGTTTGATGATGGTCTAATGCTACACAAGTTATGTAAAATTGAAACTTGAACCTTCAAACAATATTTAACCTTTAGCTGTCATAGATATGGACACACATATCTATATACATTCATTAGAATCTTATTTTAAAGAAAAACATAACAAAAAAGATACCATGAAATTTGGAGAATTCAATTTGATATTGAATTTTCAACATTGTGTATTTTCTTAAGACACTTTGCATGCCTTTGATGTTAATATAGAAAATATCAGTACCTTTTGAAATTTTAAAAACAAGTATATTATAAAATGCATAAATTTTTATTTTTCAAAATCTAGAGATACAATGGGTGGGAGATGAAAAAACTAGAGAGTACTTCTCAATAAGCAATCTAGTTGCTAGTTTTGTGTGAACAAGAGTGGTCGGTTAAAATAATAGTCATTTAGTACCTGATCCATTAGTATGCAACGATTGTAATCTTTGAAGAGATTAATAGACAATTAAGATCACAAGGTGGGTTAGATAGAATTCTAAGAGGGAGGGTGGTAAATTAGCTCTTTAAATTATTTTTCTACTAAATGAGTCAAAATAGACTACACAAGTTAAGTTTGGTTGACACACTTGGTCAACACATTAGATTTACACATCAAACATGAGGAAGAAATGTACACTTAAATTTTTAGTGGTCTTGTCTTCTTTGACCTACATCCGCTTTCCAAGAGTTTTTACCCTTGATTTTCATTATTCTCTCTTATACAACTTTCTTATGATAAAATTATTCTTTTACATGATAATTTTCATAGTCTATCTCTCCACACTAGGTAAAAAGACACTAATTTGTTTTTTTCTCTTTATTACCATAACTCCCCAAATTAAGTTAACATAAAAATAATAGTTATGAGACATAAGTTTAGTTTGAGCTTTAGAGGATGGGCTTCTAGATTTTGTGGATGTTTGAACTTGAAAAGGCTGTGACATAGTTGTGTGTGGTAGAAAACGGACACAAAGTTTCAACAAGAGTAGAACTAAACCATCGAAATTAAAATCATTGAGATCTACTAATAGTTGCTTTGAAGAGGCTCAAATGTTTTGATGATGACAAAGGGTAATTTGATGATCTATGAATGATAGCTTTTTGTCATGATAAATGTTTAATCTACCATATATTAATTCAAGTGATCAAATCTGATAATTTGCTCAAGTGGACAGTGGTCTAATGTTTCTAACCCAAATGGCTAAAATGATTTTTAGTTGCAAGATGGTGTCTCATTGGAAAACTAATTCGAAGAGCAACAAAATTCAACAAAGATGCATAACAAAATAGCCCAAAATAAGAGAAAGGTTTTATTAGCTAAAAGCCCACAAATAGTTTGATTTTATAAATACTTAATATCTTAATTATGATCACATATTTCTCATCCAATTGACTTAGTTCTTTGCTTGTTCTTGGGTTCAAAACCTCATTTAATTGCCTAAAAGTCATGTAGAAATCAAGAAAAATGAAACATTGGGAAACTTTCTAATGGCTAAGATTGAATTATTAACTTCCATTTGTCACACGGTGTATCTACACGAATGAAAAAGTGTTAATTAGATTCTTCCTATTGTCTTTTGCATTCTTTCTACTATGGGAAACCACCTCAAGCTAAAGGTTTTGAGACCTCATGGATAGGGCGTCAACCATTGAATCAAAAATAGTTTGACATTTTTTATGTATCTACAATGAAAATAAGCTAAAGAAAATGTTTGAAATGGTAATGGATTCAAGGAAATAATAATTGACACTATTACGTAAAAAAAAACCAATTGCAAAGTGCTGATTTGATAAAATTATAAAAGCTAAATGTACTCGAGATCTGTTCCTGATAAGGTTTCTTCTCTTATAGGATTTAGTATCTATTAAATGCATTTTTACGAGAGAAAATGGAGTCCATATCAGCACTATGTTTACGAGAGAAATGCTGCAAAGCTTAACAAGTGTTGTAGATACAAGTCAAGATAGTTAAAGTAAACAAAACTACTCAAAGTAGGGTGAACATAGGTTATATTTTGCATAGAATAGGATAGAACTTCCTCATATAATCGATTAAATGCATTTTTTGATCTTGAGAGGATAGCAAAACTAGATTATCTTTACTGTCCATATTAGAACCCAAAAATTACAGTTTTTATCAATTAATCCTTTTTAACGTGTCGAAGAGTTTTTAAAGTTTTTATAGTGAACTATTTAAACTTTCTAGAGACAAGGGCCAGGCCATTATCCTCACCACTGACACTTTTGTTATTCAGACAAGTTGCAATTTAAGTACATTTTTTGGAATTGAATGCATGCATAGTCATGAAAAAAAAATCTAGAAAAAAAGAGTCAAACCACCTAATATAAAAGAGATAACGATTATAGTAAAGTAAAACTTTATACCACAAAATTAATGAAGTAAAAGGGCTCCACAATAGTTGAAGAGCAGTCATTGGGTTTCAGGACTATTTTATGTTAGTCTCATGCCTCAAAAACAAAATCATAGTTGTATAAAATGGTTAATCACAACACTCATTGGAGAACTCTCTAGGAGAATTCTATGGCATTCTTGTGAGTTTTTATTGGAAATTTATTGCTGCATCAAGAATATTCAAGCATCCATTTGATGGCCAAGATCTATGGTCACAGAAGATTTGATTGAAAATTTGTAAGCTTTTAGTGCTCACTACTAATAGAGGATATTGCTTGCTGAACTCGAGCCATTCTAAAGTCAAAAATCTAGAAGCAAATGTTGTGTGAGCTTGAGCTGACTTTATAGTTGTGAATATGGAGGTAGAGGTCAACTTTTCAATTGGGATATTAACTAGAGGTTAATAGAGCCTCAAGGTAAGGCCCTAAGAAGAGCAGAGAAGAGAAAAATTGTCTAGTCACCATAAACTATACAAGCAATCCAACCCATCTCTTCTAAGAAAAATAATGCCAGAAACCTAAAATAGTAGGCCAATAAAATAAAACAAGTTCAACCACCCTCTTATGACTCACCTAGGACTAACATTATTACACAAGCTCATTTAAAAATTATTTGTATATCGGAGGGAGAGAGAGAGAGAGAGAGAGAGAGAGAGAGAGAGAGAGAGAGAGAGAGAGAGAGAGAGAGAGAGAGAGAGGAGAGAGTTGGAAGTACATTTCACCATGCAGAAACATGAAAAATGGAAATAAAGCTCTGCATCATATTGATGTTATTCAAAAGTACACAAGGTATCTTCTAACTAGTTTATGAATTGGAAAAGTCTATGCTGACGCAGGCCCAAGATGGTTGATTCCGATTTCAATCTGAATCTAGATTCCATATTCCAACCCGGATTGGCGGATTCTAAATGTCAACGTGGAATCAAGACATGGTATGGCTTGTCTGACCTGTAGAAATGTTGGGCGGCATCTAACCCTCGTATTTAGCATTTTCTTAATATGGGGCACAAATAGTCTAAGGAGAGAGAACCCTCTTCTTTCCTCCTCACCGACCCCCACTCTCGCAATCAATTGTAAGCTATTTTCTCTCTCCTCACTCATTGGCGGAGATAGAGAGGAGAGTCTAAGGAATATGCAGCGTCCACACAAATAAAGGGTGACAGTCGTAAGGTATCTTCCCTCTCTGCACCAACCAATGGGAATATGAGAGAGAGAGAGAGAGATAGAGAGAGATACGAATTTAAGGTATCTTTTCTCTCCTCACCAGCCGACATCATGCTACTCCTAGCCAGTAAGATGCCATGGTAATATCTCTGATTCTACGGACCCTACCAAAGAACAGGAAGGAGACAGACTGTGATTGCCACAAGGCAAGATAAGCCGACCTACTCTGGGCTTCCGGGCCTATTCGTTAATCTTACTTGAGATGTAGGTCAAAGGGTTGACCACGCCGAGCCGCAATCTGAGCTGCCTGGTCCGTTAGCGTGTCCTTTATCTTAGATTTTTGCTGTGACTTTCAATCGGAGGCGATTGCAAAATCTTCCGGGGGTAGGAACTCGGCACGGATCTAAAGCTGGTTTGGACTTCTTGACGTGGGAGACCAGCCACACCAACCGTTGACTTAACCAAAAAGCAACAGCTATCACAATTGCTCTGGGATAATTCGATCCGTGGGGAGCTGCACTCTGGGATTTAACAACACAGAAAATGAATTGCAATAAAAAAATAATTCTGTAGGGTATGCCCACATTAATTTACGTCAATGGGTGCAGTAAAAGCCCGTAGCCCAGAAGGTTAGACCAAAGGCTCTCTCTCTCTCTCTCTCTCTCATCCTTTGCAGGCAGGTCATAAGCCTTACTGGAGCCTAGAGTCAACTGGCCGTACCAAGTGGCCTTCCAGATCTGGTAGCTATAGAGGGGATGGTTCCGTCGTTGGATTGGAATCCAATGGTAGATTGTCTCCCCGAAGGGTTTTTATTATTACTTGATAAATTGTGCTTTCTCTCTCTCTCTACTTTCCCCTATCCTCCCCCTCCTGTGAACCAATCAATGGAGGAAAAAACTGTGTACCAGTGGGATCTGTGGTTCACATTCTTTCGGGTCCCACATGAAGATCAGTTCCCCACTCCTCTCTCTCTCTCTCTGTCTCGCTTCCTCTCGTTCAACGGCAGATTCAGAGCTCCGGAGATTCCCAGGGATCTAGAAAACCAATTTGACGAGAATTTCCGCGGGCCCAACCCCCCGCGAGGAATCTTATTTTTACTTTTTTATTAAAATATTTGGATCGACGTAAAGAAATGAAGCCACTTGTCTCTTGTCCTCAGTGGACAGCTGGCAGGTCAGCGTGACGTGTCCTTGGCCAAAGTTGAACGCGATGAAACAGCGAATGAAATATCGAAACGTTCATATCGCCACGTGGTAATGGATTAATTCTGCAGCCGTCGGTTGGCCACGGATCAATCATTGTCCCCCCTCCCATCCTGCTCCTCATTTTCCTTCGATTTCCTCCCACCCTTCTTCCCGTCGACCTGCTGCTTTCAGGACGAGACAGACAGACGGGGAGATGCCGGGGAGGCGAGGACCGGCCGTCGTCCGCCTCCGCTGAGCTTCCGCGGCGGCGATTATCGGCGCTGATGAAGGGGCGGTGAAGAAGGCCGCCGGCGGAGACGCTCTTCAGCAGGCCTTCGTCCATTCGGAATGCCACAAGGAAAAGGTCCGAATGGAGCCCCACCTTCGAAGACATGGCTATGGGGTTTATTCCGCAGCCCTAATTTCCCGATTTCTCCCGGTTCCGTCTTACTCGAATGCGGCCGTCAATGGCCTCTGAGCTCGGGCCTGAATGGCGACGAGGGTCATACTCACAAAATGGAGACAGAGAGAGAGGCTGCCCGACGTACGGATTGGTGAACGCGAGAAACCCGTCTGAACGGAAAGGGGCATTACTTTTTTGCAGTAGAAAATACCACGCAGTGAGGATGAACGCCTGCGAATGATTGAGGAATCATCCCCCCCCCGGCAGGGAGCTTCCTTCCTTTTTTGGTCCTTAAACTCAGGCTTCTCCGAGGCGCCGAGTCTCCGCCGAGCGAAGCCAGACGAACCGCCGCTGGCTCTCAGGAGATCCCGACTCCCCCAGTAGCCACCTCGCAGGGGGTTCGACAAATAATGGTAGAGTGGGTGGTGGCCGGGTGGGTGGGCCTGCACAGATCGATGAGAGAGACAGAGTGAGAGGAAGAGAGGGAGGGGGGTATTTAAGAGTGGGCGGTCAGAATCTACCTTTTTTTAATTTTTACTGCCTCCCTCCCGCTATAAAATATAGTTTCCGACACTCGTAGGCGCACCCCCTCGTTTTTTTCCCTCCCTCCTCTGCGCTCTTTTCACTCGCCACTGGTTTCTTCTCTCTCGCTCTCTCTCCTTTCCTACAGACACCGCGCAGGCGCGGTCTGTGGTCCTTCCCCACTTGTCACGCGACGGGAAGAAGCTCCTTGGGACGACATGGGTGCCGTGAATTCCTCTCAGGTCCTGGTGGTGGTCATGGGTTTCGTCCATTTTCCCTCTCTGTGATCTTCGTCTTGTAGATTTCGACGGAGCTCGTGCAATCTTCTTTGATGCTTGAAGGGCTGCTTTCTGTGTCCATTTGTTAGAACTTGCTCACCCGCTTGGGATCCAGGCGACTGGGAACTGGGGTTGGGGCTCTTGACAGCCTCAAACCCGCTCCTTATTGTCTTGAATCGTTGTTTCTTTCCGACAGTTCTGTTACCATACGTATGATTATCCCTCTTTTTTCGGAAATTTTTATATCTGTGATTTACTCATGTCTGCTTCACGAAATTCTCGGTTCCTCTGTCTGGATTTGCTTTGATTCATCTCTTCTTATGATCTCTTCCGATTTCTCGTGCATCTGAATTATCGAGCCATGCCAGATTTAGGTGGGGGGTTGTGCTAGAGACATCTGTTCTATCCACACGAGATCCCATCCACATTCAGAGGCTTCTCAGTCTCGAGTCTACGATCTAAGTGAAGAATTTTTAGTCTCATCCTGGACTGTTTTGAGCGATTGATTTCTTGAATCGAGCTGCCCTTCCCTCACCTCTTGTGCTGGTGGGAGGTTATCCATGATTTAAACATCAACATCTGTCGTTTCTATTTACGGCAGGTCCTTGTGGGATTATCGTTCTTCGGTTTGGTGCTTCAGTTCATGCATTTCACAGAGATCATCCTCTTGTTCCTTGAATGATTGGATAATATGCCACATGATGAAAATATTACAGTTTTAGGGTATCCGATGGCCAATGAGCTCCTTTTTATTTTCCCATGCGCGATTACCTCAGAAGATTACAAAGTTTTGGTATAGAAAGTCAATCATGGGGCCCTTCAAATGCCTGTCTCCGTCTCCAATAAAAAGCTCCAATTAGTTTGATCATTGGATCTTTTGATTGATAGCTGACCCCTCATAATTTATTGGCTTCCGGTCTGAAATGTGTTGGGTTTAATCCGAAAGATCAGTTTTTTTCTTTTTTTTTCTTTCCCTCTGACGCATATCTGGTCTTCTTCCCAGGGTCGATGAACTTTATGGAGGTTCGTAAGGAAGAAGACTCTGCCCTCCCTGGTCGCAGCAGCTGTGCCCGCTGCAGATTTCATGAATGAATCTCAACATGAACGATCTCCTGGTCAACCGGCCCGCACGCCCCAGGGGAGATGATCATCTCGGCGGCACAGATCTCCGTCTGGACTGCTTTGGCTATGGACCTCGTGCTTCGCTCTCTGCAGAGGACGACGGCTGCAGGCTGGTCCTCGGTCTGGGCCCGACACCGAGCTCCTCCGCCGTTGGTGGCTTTTGTGGAGCCGAAGCCGCCACCAAGAGTAGCAGGCTGAAGAATCCCTCAAATGGCGTGGATCTTGATTCGGGGAGAGGTCTGAAACTCGGGCATGGGAGAGACGGCGGAGACCTTGAACTGTCCATTGCGCCGAGCAGCCAGAGCTCCATCTCTCTCTTCGATCAGGCGCAGCAGGCTACCAGTGAGAGGGGTGAGAGGAGCTCGTCGGAGACAGCCGTCGATGGGATCTGGGCATTACCCAGGAGGAAATTCGGAGGGTACACGTCAGGCCTGATCATGGCGCCGGGGGGGTCGGAGAGCAGAACCACCACACAGGAGGAGACGATTAGTGGCGCCGATGAGGTAAGTGAGAGCTCTCTTTGGGGCGATGAGGTGGGTGGTCCTGATGCCAGGCGGCGCCACCACCGCCCGAAGAAGTGCAGGTTCAACGGGTGTCCCAAAGGGGCAAGGGGGGCGTCGGGCCTGTGCATTGCCCACGGGGGGGGGCAGCGGTGCCAGAAGCCCGGGTGCAACAAGGGTGCCGAGTGCAGGACGGCCTACTGCAAGGCCCACGGCGGCGGGCGCCGGTGCCAGCAGCTGGGGTGCACCAAGAGCGCCGAGGGGAAGACCGAGCTCTGCATTGCCCACGGCGGCGGCAGCCGCTGCGGTCACCCGGGGTGCCGGAGGGCTGCCCGCGGGCGGTCGGGGTTCTGCATCCGGCACGGCGGCGGCAAGCGTTGCCGCGTGGATGGGTGCGCCAGGAGCGCCGAGGGGAAAGCAGGGCTGTGCATCTCGCACGGCGGCGGGCGGCGATGCCAGTTTCCGGGCTGCGGGAAGGGTGCCCAGGGGAGCACCATGCACTGCAAGGCCCACGGCGGTGGGCGGCGGTGCGTCTTCGAGGGCTGCACCAAGGGCGCCGAGGGCAGCACGGCGCTCTGCAAGGCCCACGGCGGGGGCAAGCGCTGCCTCTTCGAGGGCGGCGGGGTCTGCCCCAAGAGCGTGCACGGCGGCACAGACTACTGCGTGGCGCACGGCGGTGGCAAACGATGTGCCGTGCCGGGCTGCACCAGGAGCGCGCGGGGGCGGACGGACTGCTGCGTGAAGCACGGCGGAGGGCGGCGGTGCAGGTCGGAGGGCTGCGGGAAGAGCGCGCAGGGGAGCACGGACTTCTGCAAGGCGCACGGCGGCGGGAAGCGGTGCAGCTGGGCAACTGGGTGCGAGAAGTTCGCCAGGGGGAGGAGCGGGCTCTGCGCCGCCCACGGGAGCATGGCGGCGAACCAGGCGGCAAACCAGGCGGAGGAGCTCTTCCGAGGGGTCGTCGTCGGGTCCGCCTCTGCCACGACGAGGAGCAGCATGGACAACGGCTGCTCCTCCGCCATCAGCACCCTCTCCGGCACCGCCGAGTCCCCGGCGATCACGGCCGGGAGGAGGCAGCTCCTCCTGTCACTGCCTCCATGGATGAGACCCGCCTCCGGCTCCTCCGACGGCGGTGTTGACGACGCGAAGGACAGCGGAAGGAACAGCCTCAAGTTCGCTCTACCGGAGGGGCGGGTGCACGGGGGCGGCCTGCTGTCGCTGTTCGGAGGCGACCTGAGGAACGCCATTGATGCTGACCTCGGGCCGCAGGATGAGGCAACCTGAAGATGGGAGTCTACCCATCGGAAGGATTTAGATTCAGATTGCACAAACTTTCTTTTGTTTTTTCTTCATGATTTCTTTCCTTGTTCCCCCGTCGGTGGGGAGGGGGGAATTGAATTATCTGCAGGTGTGATCTGGTATGTCAGATCATTCATGTTCGTGTAATGTAAATAATCGCTGGTGGAAAGCTCTTGATTATGCCATTTCTGCTTTTTTCGGAACGAACTTGTAGTAAGTAGAGTATAACATACAGTGGACAATCGACAGACTCCCATCATAAAAAAGATCACAGATTCCACACAAGTCGGAGCCTGTCTAAAACAGAGGGAGGGAATACGCAGGCAGCGGCGGAAGGAAGGCCGGCGCCGGCGGTCAGAGCTCGTGGGAGTAGAAGTCGATGATGTCCTCCAGATCTCGCCGGGGCAGCGAGGCGGCGGCGCCGTTCTCTGCGAGCCAGAGCATATGCTCGAAGAAGATGGAGTCGACCCCAACGAAGACGGGCCCGCCTCTTCCACCTCGCTTATTCCTGCTCCGGCGGCCAACCTCCTTGTCCCCGGTCCTCCTTGACCCCGCCAAGCCCAGGAGGACCTTGAAGGCGTCGCTCTCCAGGACCTGCGGCTCCACCAGGAACTCCCTCCTCTCCTTCCCCGCCACAATGGTCACCGCCGCCGCCGGTGACCCGAGGTCGCCGCCGTCTGAGGCGAGGGGGCGGTAGCCGAGGGAGAAGGACCGCCGGGGAAGGGGGACACAGCAGCCGGCGGCGGCCCCGGGGAAGGGCTCGTCGTCATAGACGGAGAGGGGGCGCGTGGGGGCCATTGGGTGAGAGAGGACCCCGGCGGCGGAGGTATGGTTGATCCGGTCGGAGCTTGCGGACGAGAGAGATAACGGACTGAAGAAGCAAGGTCAGAAGTGCATGAATATAGAGACACAGAGACAGCTTTCAGAGGCCCAACGGGAGGTCAGAGAGCCGTTGAGATTGGTGGCGGCGCCCACCATGACCGCGTTTGGGATTTCCGTCTTGATCCCCCGTCCAATTCTAGATCGACGGGCTTAATTCTCCATCTCTCCCTCTCTCTCTCTCAGTCTGACATAGACGAACGCGGCAAATTGTTCCTTCCTGCTACCGTTTCGCCCTTTACTGGGTCCCCCGCTTGCCGAGTCAACGACGCGGCCGAATAATTATAATATTATTTTGGGGGCGATTATTTATAATGTAGAACAAAATGTAGGCAACTGCGGAGTCCCTCAACGGGATCACCCTCATAAAAAAATGTACCATTTGAATGATTCATAATTAGAAGACAAGGTTTCACAGAAATTGTTAGCAATTAACTAAGTTATAATATCAACTAATTTATTACTATTAAATCATCCCAAGAAATATTATTATTTCATATGTATAATATGAGTATATAATAATAAATAATGAATAAGTTAATGGTTATCTAGTTCATAATATTAAATAATTAAATAATTAAATAATAAGTATATATCAAAAGTTTCTACGAGAAAAAAAGGCTTTTAAATGAATAAAATTATATTTTCACATGGCTATGATTTAATTGGAATCCCCTCTCTATGGGCTTCTAAAGGCCATAAGTAGGTCCATCCAATAGGCCCAGTCAAAAACTCGGCCTAGCATGTTTGGGCCAAGAAGTAGCTGCCAAACCTGTTCCCCTTCCCCCCCCCATCTGATCATCTTTTAGTACTATCAACTGCAAGGATGTGGGGGCCCCTTGCTCCTCATATGGCTGCAGGATCCTATTTTTTTGTTGTTTCCTCTTGCAATTTACCATAAAATAGAAATAGGGTATATCTTTTCTTCAATGATTTTAGACATTTGGGTATCAATAGGCATACATGAGAACCAACATGATCTAGAGGGAGTTAACTTTTTGTCCCAAAGATCTTGAAACTTCATCTACACTCAATACATCGGAAGTCGACTAAACATTGAGCTCCATATGAAGAATAACTTCAACATTCTAAGGTTGGGGTAGGTCAATGACACTTGGACTATTCCAATCTTTTAAGAGCACCTAAAGATGCTACACTGGTATTGATGGCCACTCATGAGAATCAACCAGATCTCAAAAGAATTGACATTTTATCTAAAAGATGTTAAGGCCTTGTCTCAATCTACTACATATCATTTTGACTATTCATTGACCTTCCTCTTAATGTTGATGCTAAAAGATACACATACCATCCAATGTGACTTACTAATCTTGATACTTGGGCACAATACTCATCATTTGGTTGATACTCTAGCAAAAATGACCTGATTAGGTCCATTGAATTTGACTCCAAAATAAAATATATTTAATTTATAAATAGCCTTTGATCTTCATTGACAAATGACGTCATGTTTTTGAGATTGTGGTGAGTCAATAGCCTTCATACAATTCATATTTTAAAGAACATTTGAGGAGGCCATAAAAAAATTGGCAAGTAGCCCTAAGAATTGTCAAGATCTCAAAGGAGCATAGTTTGTCTAAAAGCCTCAATGACTATTCAACTCATGTTGTGGAGAGATCAAAAATCAAGATTATTGAGATAACATATCAGACACTTAGTTGACTATTCTTAAGGTTGACTCTATCTTGAGGGAGTCAATTGGTATCAATCACTAAACAACACACATATAACACCAAATTAGGCCTGCTAATCTCCATACTTTACATGTGCCTAATGTATAAAAGGTGGACTGATGTTGACCTTCACATGAGGAATGACCTCAAGTTCTCAAAAATACAGAAAGTCAACAATGTTGCTACTTTGTACAACACTTAGGGATTAATAAGCCAATCTATTGTGTGTATTCTCAAAAGAGAAAAAGGTAGCAAACCTATAGTGGGGGGTGTATTATTTATAGAGGGCTCTCCCTCCCTTTGATTCTAGAACTTACGCTATATATAGTTAGGGGAAACAAATGGGGGGAGGGAGAGATTTTATTTGTCTAGAATAGGGTAGAGTTAAAGCGCCCTTGTGACCACTCTAGGTGGAGTGGGACATGCACTGGCCGTTATCAGATATTTATATTATCTTTTCATTTAGAATATTCCCCCTTATTAACCATCCCTTATTTTAACTACAAAGTCTTCAAAGCCTGGTATTAGAGCTATGGGTCATGATGAAAGATGCTCAACATACCTTCCCCCCCCTTTTAGCAAGTGGATATAGTAGAAATGAAAATGGATACCATAAACGGTCACATAAGATAGACAAAGCATAACATTGCACCTCTCTTAAGTCATCTCACATAGTGCCTCAAAACTTTGAAAATGCATGAGAGATCCTTAGAAAGTTGGAAGATTCCTTTGATGGGTTGTGGCTGACAAGAGACTCTAGAATCAAGAGCAATCACCCATGAGCAACATGTTGCAACCAACATTAACATCCTAATATTCATGGTTGATAACCCTATTAGGTGAATATTCATAATAGAGCTTTTCTTTAAGCTCACCAACACCACATAGTGTGACCATATATACTATGTTATGATGAGGCTAGAAATGATGCATTTAGTATATAGGGTGGAGGCCCATCACCCCTTTCATGACTGACAAGTTATAAGACCTAACTACTCTAGTAATTTGGAGCCATTTAGGACAAAAGTTTTTATTTATCAAAATTTCCTATGATTGGCACAAAAGGAGATAGTGGCTGAATTTTGATGAAATTACAAATTTTTATCTACATTAATCTCTAAGTTACTTGTAGTAATGAAAAACACTTTTACTAAAGGGTTGAAGCTCAAATTTTTAATTGAGATGAGTATGTTTAACCCAACAAGCTTGATAGAAGTTATGAACATGACACAAAAGACATAGATGTGACTCATGAAGCTATGGGGTCAGAAAGATAGAGGGAGCTTTAAGACACTATTTTGGTGTGTTTAAGATCCTACATCTAGATAGAATAGACTATTCCTACCAAGCATACCACCACTTATTATCATTGTGACCAATCAACGAGTAAACCATAACCACTCCAAAGCTATTTACAAGAGTAGCATGGGGCTTCAACTAATTAGTGGACAAGAGTAGATAAGGCTGAAAGTACAACAAAGGTAGGTCAAATTGACCAATGCTAAACTAGAAGAGCAATGGTCAAAACAACTCTATTTTCGTTGTGACAAAAAATTCCTTTTGATTCATTATTGTAGAAATGAGTTGCGAATTCTTATCATTAGTGAGTTAGACAACAATAAAAAAGAGCACACCAAGGTTCACAAGTACCCCCTAAAATTAGAGACATGATCTCCACTATGACAACAAAAGTCTCTCTCAACTCAATTATGGGAAGAACAATCCTTAGGAAACAAAAGCTAAAAGGGACTCTAATGATATGATCTACTATTAATACTATTGATTTTGATATTACATGTAAAATTTTATTTACTACATATTTATGGAATATTTAATATATTTCATGAGAGCTTGTATTAAAGGTTTAATATTTTTTATAAATATTCAAGATGTATAATATTTATGCTTGTGTTACCAATGATTAACAAATGAATCCAAATAGTTATTCTATGATATATTCTATGTTGGAATTAATGTGACATCATAGAGTTTATGTCTAAGTATAATAATTCAGTGCTAATGCATGTGATGAAATATTTAAAAAATATTGAAATATTAAAGTCATTGATAGGATTCAAATTATAGATTTGAGCAAGAAAAACACTTAGAAAGTCATAAAATATTAAGTTAAGTGTAGGATTTGAACTTAAAATCTAAAGGATGATAAGTGGGAAGCCTTAGCAAGAAAAATATTTAGAAAATTCTGAAACATTAAGTCAAGTGTATGATTCAAACTCAAAACTTGAATGACGATAATTCAAAAATCTCAATAAGAAAAACACTTAAAAAGTCAAGAAGTATTAAGTCAGGTGTAAGATTCAAACTTAAAACTTGAATGACAACAAGTTAAAAACCTCAATGGAGAAATATATGGAAGATTGAACTCGAAATTTGTACAATGACACATTAGAAGTGTATGCAAGAAAACATTTAAGAAATTACGAAAAGAGAGGTGTCATTCCCACACATTTTAGAGGCGACATGTTGACAGAATATGTGAAGATAATGACAAACTAAATGAGCTTATTTGGACTCACCCAACAATGAAGACGTTTGTTGACAAAATACAAATCTCTAGGCTAAGTTTCAAATGCAAAATATGAGAGAATAATGAGCTTCAAACTAAGGAACAAACAAAGGCCTTTGTTACTCATATTGAGTAACATAAAGATTTTTGAATCTACATGATAAGTCGCTAAGACATGAAAGATCGAAGAACATTGAAGAATAAAAGAGAAAAGCTTATGAAGAAGAAAAATTAACAAATAAATATATCTCTACAATGACTATGTATGCTCCAATGAGCTTTCATTCTTTATTTATCAAGGTTCAACAACCATGAAATTTAAATGAGAATAGAAAGTTGTATCAATCTTACATTCAACTTCAATGATTCAAAATGTGATATTTCAAAGGTTGATGCTCTTCATCAGGCCTTAAGATACTTAAGTTGTGAGTGGAGAGTAGTTTGAGTTAAAGCATGTGGAGTTGAGAACGTAGACATGCTTGTGAAGGGTGAGGTCTTTAAGAAGATTAAACCTTTGTCGACACACTCATATATAAAAAATAAGAATTAGACTAAAGTAATAGAAAATTTATTTATTTATTTCTCATGGTGTTTTACCTAACCTCTATTCACTTGTCATTATATTAAATGACTTTGGAGTAACCACCACAACTTCATTTCTGTATAATTATTCAAAGAATTACAACTGAAGGTCAACCCAAGATAAATGTATGAGGTTTCCTCCCTCTCAAACTACATAATCAAAACCTTATCCTTAACATCCAATTGTTGCTCACTTTGAGATACACCATGATTTACTAGAGACTATTTATCATGAAATTTAAAATTTACAATAAAAGTTTAACATTGTAGGGAGATACATCATTAAGTAGCACAAATCTATTCCTCAAAACCATTTTTTAGGATGAACTTGATCCTTTTAATACTACAATGATAGTATTGGAATAGAAACCAAACTATGAGTTTGAAGTAATAATAATAGCAACTCTAGGGATTGAAGCAAGGAGGAATTTCAAAAGTAAGGGCAATGACATTCAAGACAACATATTAGAATTAGTAGAGTCAGCATCAAAAACACCATGTGTCTGCATAGAGCAATTCAAGTCAAAATTCTCACAAGTATTTACCTTAATCAGCACTCTACCCTCTCCTCATGAGGTTAACCATGTAATTTACCTCGTAAGAGTGCAAACAATTAATGTGTTGCCCTTTTACTACCATCATATGAAGGACATGATGGAGCACCTAATATGTGATTTGTTAAGTCAGGAGTCATACAATACTTGACAAGTTCTTTTTCCAACCCAACACTCACTTCATAAGAAGGATTGTGGTTAGAGGTTGTGTATTAATTATAGGACCCTAAATCAAGTTAGAGTAGTTGATTGCTTTCAAACCCTAAATCAAATCAAAATTTTGATGACCTATAACATGACTAAAGTAGAGTATAGGACTCACAAGAGTCACTAAAAATTCTTAGTGATGCCATTCAGCCTCAAGAATGTTCAATTAACATGTTCTTAATGAATCAAAATTTGAAACCTTATGTGCATTAATTTATTATAATTTCTTCGACGACATTTTAATATATAGTAAGCTATGGGAAGGTAGCATTAGGAGTATATGTGGTTGACTTTCATTGTCCAAGATCACCATTAGCTCCATGCCAATAGAAAAAATACATCATCGCTTACAACAAAGGAAAGTTCTTAGGCCATTGGGTCATGACAAAATAAGTTGAAGCCGATGAAGAGAAGTTAGAGGCAATGTTGTAGTGGCCATCTCCTCACAACACTAAAAAAATTCGAAAGGTTTTTAGGCCTCATTGGTTATTATAGATGTTTTATAGTGAGATATGTAGGGTATCGTCAGTCCTATCACCAATCTATTGAAGGACAATTAATGATGAATAACTCATCAAAGAGCAACCATTCTAAAAGATGAAAATAGTGATATGCTCACCCCCTATCCTTATATTGTTCAATTTTTCACATGCCTTGGCCAAGGTGTGGGTGTAATTATCATGTTAAACAACTCTTCATTTCTTATTATAGTCATACCTTGTCCCCACAAACTCATATATGAGCAAGAACTGATGACAATAGTTGTCATAATCCAAAAGTGGTGGCACTGTCTCATTAGGTAGTGATTTATTATTTTTACTAATCATTACAACCTTAAATTTTTGTTGGAACAATAGTAAACCCCACCTCAATACCAAAAAATAAATATTGAAGCTCATCTACTAGGACTTTGAGATTTGTTACAAGGTTGGATTAGAAATACCACTACAAATATCTTATCTTGCAAGGCCCCCTTAGCAAACTTCAAGTAGTGTTAACTACTCATCTTCCTTCACTAGACTTGTAACGCATTTGTCATGATGTAATTAAAGATCTAATGTTCAATAAGACCATAAATATTACCTAACAAGATGAGACATCAACAACTCACATTTCACTATTTAGTGGCATCCTCTTTCACAAGGGGCATGTGGTAGTATCCTCAACCTCATTTCTCATATCTAAGCTCTTTAATGATTACCACAACATCGTGTATATTATGCCGAAACACAAAGATAAGTCACTTTCACTAATGGGCTTGTTACAACCACTTTCGATGCTTAAGTGTAGGATAACCTTACCATGGATTTCATTGTGGGCTTACTGCCCTCCCACAATAAGAATTTTATTTTAGTTGTCGTTGATAGATTAACTAAGTTTGGGAGTTTGTGACACACACCACTACTTGGCGAAAGACATTGCTGAAGTCTTCCTTCAAGAGATCATTTAGGTACATAGGATCTCTTGTTCCATCATTTCAGATTGAGAGAAAATTTTCCTTCACTATTTCTGGATACTGCTCAATAGATTGCAAGGGACTAGGTTTAACTAAAGCACTACATTCCACCCTGAAACAAATGGTCAAATAGAATGAGTCAACAAATATTTAGAAACTTTCTTGTGCTGCTTCTCCTCTAGCAAGCCCCATCAATAGAGTAAGTGGCTCACTTGGGCCAAGTTGTGGTATAGTTCAACCTTTCATCGCCCCCTCTAGATCACCCCTTTTCATGCATTGTATAGCAAGGACCCACCTCTGATCATTCACTTTAGTTCACTGTTAGTGAAACCCTCATCATTGGTGGACCTCCTCAAGATGTTAGACAGAATCAAGAACTTGACTCAAGCATAAATACAAATGAAATAGTTTGTAGATCATTAATGATGAGACATTGAGTTTGAGGTGGGTGATTAAGTATTTGAGATTGCTCCTCTACCTCATAAGACATTGGCAAGGAAAATGACCAATAAGCTAACCCCCATTTGTTTTGGACCCTTCAAGATCTTAGAGTGCATAAAACATACAATCTACTGCCTAGACCTCCCTACCACAGCCCAAATTCTCTCTATTTTTCATATTTTATAAATCAAGCATGCTTTTGAACTTCAACATAATTGCCAACTGATGCTTGCTAGCTTGGACATTGATCCGCAATGAGTGGTGTGATCAGCTAAAGTCCTAGATGTGTGACAATTCCCCTAGGGCTCATAACTATTGATCTATTGATAAAACCTTCCCTCCTTCGATGCCACATGGGAGTCAACAAACTAAGTTGCAACCTGCACCTTGAGGACAAAGCACTAGAGGTGGCAGGGGGTAAAGTAAGACACCTGTGGATTACTAGGCTAATGGGCTGTGTATTTGTGAAAGAGAAAAAGGCAACAAAGCTGATAATGGGAGCCTGTTATCTACAGAGAGCTCTCTCCCCTTCGATCCCATAATCTTATATTATATATAATAAGGGGAAAGAGACAGGGGGAGGGAGATATTTTATTTTATCTAAAATAGACTAGAGCTGGATCGCCCACTCTAGGTGGAGTGGGGACGTGCACTAGACTGTTTGTCGAAGATTTATCTTATCTTCTTCTTTTGATTCTTTCCCCTTGTTAGCTTACCCTTGTTTCAGCTGCGAAGTCATCACATACATTTCTTATTTTATAATTTTTCTTCCAAGAAAAGAGCTTAAACAAAAATAAATGAGAAATAAAGCCACAAGTTTGGGGGAATACGGTGCAAAGATGGTCTCTGCTGGGCGAGAAATCGTGATCAATCAGCGCCTTCACCCAGACGAACCGCTTTCAAGCTGCTTAAGCGCCATTTTTGCTTTTGCAGTCTATTAGGGTGCGGCGCTCCTCGTATGATGCTGAGAGAAAGTGAGCATGCGAGAAGATGCTTCAGCAGATGTGGATAATAATGAAGGATGAGGATGCTCTAAGGAGAGAGAGGATGATGGAATGCATTGGCTTTTGAGGAAGTCAAACCGCTGCCAGCCATGCAGAAAATGACTCCTATTTTCGGAAAAAAAAAGTAGTGTTCTCCAAGGACTGGAGGGAAAATGCGTTCATAATTCTTTCAGATGGTGTAGTGTTTTAGGTCATCATGGTTCTGTACTCAACTGAACTGAAGAAAATAAGAGTACGATGAGCATGGGGTTCTACGGAAAAAACAAAAAAAAATAGAAGCCGATAATGGAAAAGAAACTGTGGTAGCAAACTAAAAAATTTCATTTCCTGAATGTGGTTACTTTGTGAGGAAAGCGGGGTATGGAAACGGCGGCAAAACATTTTGCCACCAATAATAACAGGGCGAATAGACCTTAAAATTATGAAAAATGGCACTGACTATTTCTTTCCATTGACATGATCAACACTCCGGAGCATGCCCTCAGAGTAGTTATGGGTACCAACCAAATAGCGCAGACATTCACGACCAGAAACTGCCTATTTTATTGACTTTAAAAATAATACAAATGCCATTTTTGCTCAGGCATGAACCCACCCACCCAGGGTTTTGTCGAAATGCCGAGCAGAGAGTTTTGTCTCACAACGATAGAAGAACATCACCCCCCCCACTTGAACCATGACTCCTCGTTCTTGATGATAAATGGAAATTATTTCAAGTCAAAGAACTGGAATATTCCTGTCATTCGTCCAAGGGGGAATCTTTTATTACTTCCAAAACTGGTATCAATGCACCTCAGGCCTAGGTGCACCCAGTTCACTTATGATTCACAGCTGACTTAGAAAAAATCAATCAAATATGCTACTACCATGATACGTTTCCCACATTCCTAACCTTGTATTCTGAGGGGTCCAGGGTTTCGGTGTCCAATGCTCGAAAGATGGGAAAAGGAGACAATTGAACTATGGTCGAACTGTGAGGGGGGGAATTGCCTATCTAGGCCATGATACAGCAGCAAAGTGCATAGTTGGAAGAAAACGAGAATCATTTAACAATAATAATACTCACGCTCTGTTTGCCGCGCTAACAGAGGAACATGGTTTGGTTTCTTTGGATTCTCTCTGAAGGGATAGTCGTTTTCTCCTACAAACCGAGTGGGTTATGTGAGTGCAGAGCAGGAGGAAAAGACGGAAAGCTTTTAGGAAAATAAGCACTGAAGAACACCTGGGTCAGACAAGCAGTCGAGTGCCTCTTGGAAGATTGCAGCTTGGAGAAGGTAGTCATGGAGTGTCTTCCTCAGGTGGTGACGGAGAGCTTGCTGTGCATCTACGCGCATGTTGATCAAGTTTATGCGTTATTAAAGATTTCTCATAAGGAATTCATAATGTAAGGTTTTAACTGATGATCATGCACAGAAAAGCATCCCGAAATCCAAAACATAACGTTTTATGCATAATAAAAAAAATATAAGGAATTCCAAAACATAATTGATGATCAAGTTTACGCGTTATTAAAGATTTCTCATAAGGAATTCCCCAGAGATGCATTAAAAGACAAACGACTAGCAACCACGATTTGAAGACTTGGACCAAGTCGGGCAAATCTCGGTCAAATTTTCAGATTACCTATTCCTGAACTGGATGGGATCTAATGAGTTGCATTTTCGAAGACTTTAGAGAGAATTTCAGTTTTGAGATATTCGTCAGTAGAATAATATGATTGAGGACCAAGTAGGTCCAGAACTTACTGAGTTGTAGATGATCAATGATCAACGAAATCCAATTCAGTTTTTTATTTTCTGATCTTCCAAAAAATACCAAGTTGTCAAGACTCGAAAACGACACAAAAAGGGCAACACAGTTTTCTGAACTGCACAAAATTTAGAACTAAATTTATTTTAAAACCACCCTTAATCATGTTCATTAATAAACTATCATCGCGGAAAAAATAAGTTATTGACATATTCATCCATCTTAATTAAAAAAGATCAATGTTCCGAGTGAACAGAAAAAATGTAAGGCCTGTATGCTAGAGGAAGATGGTCTGATGGTCTCATCCATCCTGAAATACCTGGTGAACACGTGAACTTGATGTCATTGAACTCACAAGACCGAAGGACTAATGGAAGCTCAGGTGCCATATTGTACTGAGGTTTTCTGGGAACCTTGGTAGTATCCAATAGCAAATCAATTACCTACATTGCATTACATAGCAACCAGAAATTACTGAAGCTCTAAGCAAAACATTAAAGACGTGCTGAGGAGTTTAAATTAATTTCTTAATAAAACATTCAGGTATGCAAGGTGACTTTTTCAAAACATGGTCATATAATGGTGTATTCTGCGCAGGTAAGCGAATAATCCATTTGATAGCTACACCTCCTAAAATATTAAAAAATAATTTGGTATAGATGCTTTGACTTTGATCATTCAAGTGCATTCTAATCATCTTTTAGGCAGGATATGACGAACATCTTTCCTTAACAATGCAGGTACTTTCTTGGATCATCACAAAATCTGCTCATTTGGGTCTACAAAAGTTTAACCGCGCACATAAACTTTTGAATGTCTTTGGTGCATTTCCTACTAATCATGTTTCTATTGACACATTCACACTGTTAATGGAGACAACACGAGGCAACTATGCTTGTCATCTCTGTGGATGGACATAAGCAAAACTACCAAATATCACCTCCGAGAAATTCACTTACATGGATGCCATATGCCAACACATTGAGAATCACGTAAACCATTTCTCAGCTTTCGCACATCATTGGGGAAGGTACCATGTAATTAAATCCTTCCTATATTGCTCTAATTAAAATCTCCCTGAAGAGAGCACAGGATACAAACTTTCTGGTCGTACCAGCAGTGCTTGCAAGCACATTCTTTGAAAGGCCTCCTGATGGCTAGGAGTGGATCGATCCAGGCTGAATCTTCATCGATGGCTGTTCAAATAAATGACTTGCTCGTTCTTGAGATCTCACTTGAATATTATCTCATTCTTTGACACCCACTCCAAGAAACCAGAAGATCAGTAGATGCATACGGTAGCCTGACTAACCATTTTTTTAGGGTTAAGTACACTACCTGTGTTTTCAACAGCCGTCTTTATCACTTTTATGGAGAAGACTACATGAAAAATAATGGATCTTGGTTTTACGACTGTTTGACATACAAACTCGAGAGTACCTATAGAATTCTGCCTTAGAAACCCATAATGAGCACATTCCATCAATCAACTGTCCAGAGAAAAATAAGCGGGGTACTTTACTTTTCTCCAAGCACTGTTGTACTCAACTGCGACAAAAACTAACCAAAAATCCTTTAAACATATTAATTGATTCACCAATTCATAGGTAACTTTATCAAGATCTTTACCATGTAACTTTTATTTTTCACTCAGAAGAAATTGGGCATAAAACCAAACAAAAAAAAATGGTATTAACAGACTATACAGTTTCATTTTATTTTACTTATATTCCTAACCGCAAAGCTGAAATTAGATAAAAGGCAGTTCACGTGAATAATGTTCACATATATATCATTTATTTCGATGGATGTCAGTACATACACAAGGAGACTCATGACCTTCACCAATCATAAACAGCACTGCAACCATGAATCGAACTTGATGCCACAGAAATGCGCTACCTTTGATTGTCATTGCCCAAAGCTCATCACCACCAGATCTGCAGGCAGAAAGAGAGTTATTGAGTTCAATGTAATTTACCATAATTTCACCTCTAAGAATCAGATAAGCAAGAGATACTAAAAAGTAGACGAGCAAGTCAAAATGTAAGGTTGGAGGGACTAGAATCACATCAATTGTAGGGCTACCTCTGAGTTTCATTTCAACCAAAATCTTGGGCATCGTCAAAATCCTAGAACCTACAAGAGGAATTGTTCTACACTACAAATATTTTTAACTCACTGGTGAGACAAAAAGGCCGATCAGAAAATTGTGTCAAGGCGTGAAGAGAAATCAGTGAAGGCACGATCAAGAAACGGTAGATCTCAGATAAGAATGTGGAAAGATAAATTATACATGACAGAAGAAACGACTTCATAAAAAACAGTCGCCCAATATATGCAGTCTGTGTGGACCAGAGCCAGATAAAAACTGAAAAAACATCAAATAGTGTCACGAGATGAATACCAACTTCGATTAAAAAGAAAGAGAGGTATAGTAGCTGTCCTCGAGTCAGTTTCTTTTGTTGCTTGAATTATCCAGGAGCTTCATTGCAAAGAGACAAAAAACCATATCATCATCATAAACCTCTCACAGCATAGATTCATTATCGCCAAAAGCTGCAAAAGTAAGTGCTCTTTAAGGGACCCCAGGTCAATCCACATTTCACTTATATCAACCTTGAAGACAATGCAGCTGATTTTATTGTCTGATAATGGTTACATGATGTCGTCTACGATGTCCTTTGCTTGCATAAAAACTACAGAACTGTTGTGAAATATTCTGTCCACAGTTACATTTGACTTGTTTGGAAACAGTTTTCCACCATCGGTAGTAAACATTAATCAAATTGTTAAATCTGAATCTTCTGCTAAATTAGATCCATTTTTGGTCATTAGATATAAAAAGATGCAGTTTACATTAAAATCCAGGTGAAAAAATATACTGCTTTATGCACTCCCTGTCCATTGCCATCTCTTCGATTCTCATTTTCTGGGATGCTGGGCATAAAGTGCAGCTTTCAGCTGTGAAAATAAGACTCTATGTACTCAAATTGTCCTTACAAGGTCTCACATAGTTTGTTAGCACACGACCTCTTTTCTTCTACATTCTAATAGTCTATTAACGAAGATTGCTGTTGCAACACTAGCTGTGGCTTCCAGTGCAATAATTGGCATCTCCCAACCATTCTTTCAGCAGCATGAAAAACTATCTTCGAATTAACAATAAAATTTTCTTATTGTTGAGAATGTCCTCTGTGACAGAGGACAGAGGGGAGGAACGACAGAAACCGCCTCAACCCATCATCGACCTGTCACATCCCTTAAAGGGGAAGAAAACCCTACACAACATTTCCCAAAGTACCCTTATCACTTTCAACACTTATTATTTTGATGGATCATAGATATGTTGATTATCTAAATCGCTCGTTTCTCTCAGACTCAAAAAGAAAATAGAAGCACAACATGCAGCCATCAACTTTTTTCTCCATCTTCACCCGCACTAGGGGTAGAAAAACAACAATTCGATCATCTTGCCATACACTACATTTGGTTTCAGAGCATCGTATCAAATATAATTTGATTAAACAAAAACACAGCAACCTCATTTTGAAAGTTGCACTCCTACAGCCATTTTACATGAGGCAAGAATTGAATTCAGAACCGTAAGATGACAAAGGAGAGGAATATTAGCATCACATTCCAAAAACTGCCAATTTATCAGAAAGATAACCTCATTTTGCAACAAAAAAATAGACCGCGCAATGTGTAGCCAGGAACCACTCACCTTTCGTAGCAAGGGTTGATTTCAAAAGAGATAATTTGTCTGGTATAGTTTTTAACGTTTACTGCATCCATCTTACAGAAATTCCTGAAATCATGAATCCCAATGAACTTCTTGGCAGCGTACTTCATTTCCTGATGATTTATGAAACAAGAGAATGGTGGTAACTATTTGTTGATAACAGGTGTAGGGGTATTTGTTGAACCTAGAGAAAATAAAAGGTTCATACCATGACATTAAGAGAGCCTCTCCAGAAAAAATACTTGTATTCTCTGCTCAAACAACTGAACCTGCAAAGCAGGCATCGTTCATCTAGTTAGTTCTTTGGCTTCACAAGGTTCCATTTAGAAGAATATGATTAAGAGAGAGCATGAAAATATGATTAATCAGATTTTTGACAGCCCTTGGAGAGTAATGCTATCATATGACCCTTCATTGCACCTCTTCGTGCATGATACAATGAAAATCACTCAGCAATTCAAAACCAGAATCATATTGAGTATTACATAGCAATTTAGGATTCACTGGGCGTGTACAATGATTCCATGCGACACTTTATCTAAGTCTGAAACACACATCCTATTTTCGTGCAGAGAAATTGAGCGCATATTTCCCATGAAAACATTACAACATATAAGATGGTGGCGGCAAGACCGACATTAAAATGAAGAATTGGCCACAATTATTTTGACAACTGATTATGTAAATTCATGGATTGGCCAATGGGTGTATACATTTAGAATTAAACGAAATAAAATTATCTCAAACACAAACCTTGCATTGAAATGTGTGGAAGCTGCACTCCATCCAATAACTCTTATATCGTTTGGGAGAGCCCTATTGAGTACCCTCACATAGTCAATTTCCTCCTCTGGATAAATAAAAGTTCAGAAAGATTAACATAAATGAAGGACAGCATTTATACCATGTTTAACTGACAACAGTTTTTATTCCCTGTATATTAGTCAGCATAAATACTTAAACCTAGCAAAGTAAATATATTGAGAAATGGAAATCAATGGCAGGGAAAAGTTTAAACTTAAAAAATATCATTCGTGCCAAGGGAAAGCAGGAACAGAGCGTACGTGCCTTCCTTGGTGATAATGTTTATTCCTGAGTCCTTCAGTTTTGAACGTAGAAACAGAGAAATCACCTGCACGGGATATTTCTTAGGAGACGTCAAAATAAAAACTCGAAAGTCAACCGGGTGATGATAAATAACATCATCCTGAACAAACAACCACGTTAGCCAGTAAATTAGCCTGCATAGAGCAAAAAAGTAATGCACGATGCTTTTCAGTTTGCGTCCAACTTAGGTCTATGAACTACTACTTTCATTCCACATTTTTTAACTGAAAAAATAATAATTTAAAGAGAAAATGCATTGCCCATCAAAAGGATCAGAATCTGGACCACAGTCTCCATCATATATTGAACCAGAAATCAGTGAATTTTGGCTTAGACCAAGTCATCTATAGAGAAACAGGAATAGAGGAGATAATCTATTAGAGGATCTATGAAACGGTGAGACATGAGAAGAAAAAGCAAACAGAATTGCCCTAAAAAAGCGTAGTACATTATAGTGAGATTACAAATCTTCAAACCTTGGCACTGTTTCTGCGGCAACGATCACCTAGGCCATGCCACTTCTTCCTATCGTCACATGCTCATGTGCATGTGACAGGGGAGGTCTAAGCAACATCTAAATACCGATTGTTTAGACTGGAATAAGAGCTTCCCTAGACTCTGGAATCAAAACATATCCATGGTCTTTAAAATGGAAAAAGGATCATTGATCAGCCAGGTTTAAAATGGAAAATGATCGTTTGTCAGGCTAACACAGCAGTGCCTCTCTCACAGTTTTGCTGACACTACAGTGGGATTCTTGAAACATATTTTAGCCAATTCAGGTTGAAGGGGAGAAACCCAATTCCACAGAATTTCAAAATGGACTGGGCCTAATGTGGTCCCTTTATATCACCCTTTTCGAAGACATTATGGAGATGATCTAACTTAAATCTTAATCTTTTCAAAATTAATATCATGTGCTGAAGATGTCTGAATCAATACCATTGGTCAACCCAAAACTGTCCAATATCAAATTTCAAGGGAAGTGTATCTTTTTATTGATCAACAAACATCATCATCCTCCATTAAGAGCCCAGTACCAAGTAGGCATCAGGCCATGAAGAAAAACAAGCTATACACAGGTTTCACATGTGGAAAAACGGTTGACAAGATCCCACAATTCAGAAATTATAAATCTTATTCGTATCAGCATGCATCTTTACATATCTCCTTCCACCGCCTCCATCAGGAACAACCAACGATAGCTAACAAAAGCAAACAAATAAAAATTTAGTGTCATAATCCTTGAATAACATCTGTTTAAGACATTACACTTTTTTAAAGTGAGATAATAACACAGAAATCTATAACTTGCTATAAAGTAAAATCAATTAATCAATTCCTCAGTCTATTCTTGGCATAGGATGCGACATAACCAAAATTTTAAAAAAGAGGATTCTATTCATTGTACCTGACCAGTGGAGGAAACTCCTTTGTCTGTCCTGCCACACCTTGAATAGCATAAATCTGCCCTGTTACCAGTAGATAGCTTTGTCTTGCCTAATGCCTTGAAAATTTCAGACTGGTCCCACCAACAAGATCAGTAAAGGGAAACAGGGTGAGCTACCCAACATAGCCTGGAAGTATGATGCATAAGTTTTAGCAAATCCATTGTGCTTCTATAACTTAAAAATGGCTATTCATGATCCAAATACTTGGATGAACTATATAATCTGTTTAAATCAAAAACATATTGACAGGATTCTCAATAACTGTAGTGGATTCAAATGGAAAATAAATTTAGGCCTTGGTGCTTAGTGTGGGAAAGAACGTATAATTGGAAGTTCGATTCATACTTGGACCGTTTCCTAGTTTGTCGGTTCGTTTCCTTGTTCTTAGGTAGTTTCCTTATTTTGTAGCCCTGGTACTTGTATATAACAGTCATTTACAATGTGAATACGATTAGAGTTTTTCCTCTGCATATCCTCCTAGGACTTGTGCCACTGTTCCTGAAAAATAGCTTTTATTGGTCATAGGGCCTTCCCATTATTCATTTCGGAACATAGTTACTAACAGACTTTACACCAATATAAAATGCTTAGTCAATATGCATTTTATATAAACTTCTGTTAATAACTTAAAATATACACATCGTTTTTTGACTAATATCAACTTAGCATAGGTCGATATGCCATTTATTTAATTTGGGCATAAATATTGATCTTGGAAGATTTTCAAAAGTTGCATGATTGAAAGAATAATTCCTTCCGATCCTTGTAATAAGACACAAATTATTATTTAGAAGAGGAACCCCCCGAATCAAATACTTTTCGGACCAATCTTAGAAGACCCTGAGTTCAAAAAAACAATTGAGTTCAAATAAAAATATAACTCTTGAAATCATGGAAGGGAAGAAAAACTTTAGAAGACGGAAATAAGACTTTCTCAGAGACACAGAAGAGTAATGTTCACACTAACTGCCGCTAGCAGAATATGCTGGAAGAGTAATGTTGAACCTATGCCAACGAAATTAGCTTTTTCTCTTAGCCCCCTGGGGGGGAGCATACAAAGATAACAATTTTGTATTCCATCAGTACGTCCATTTCTGTTTTATGGTACACCACAGCATAATCTGAGTGAAATACCTTGATTCACTTTGCAAGGATTTATAGCTAAGCAACGCCACAGTAGGAGATGATGCACAGATCAGAATAAGCAAGTGAAAAAGAAAACGATTCCCACCTTCTTTACATTAAGTTATACAGGTTTGAAGAACTGAGAAACTTGACTTGAACTTAGTTCGAGAAAAACATGAAGGACAAAACATTTATGGCATTCACACTTAATGGCGAATCAAGACAAAATTGGTTTATCCTAAGAAGAAAAGGATAGAGAAAAAAGATAGATAACCTATTGCAGATGAAATATCTTTTGATGAGACAGTAAAAGGAAGAGTTGGGACTCAGTTAACTAATCAAATGGATCAAGAAGAAGAAATAAAAGTGAATGATCCAGCTGCAGAGACTCATATAACTTCCATCTTACCTTTTTTTAGATGTAGATATCTGAATTTAACTTCTAGGAATCAATCTGTACATGAATAACCTAGGAAATCATTATTATGGTTCTCTCAGATTACGACTGTACAAATTATTTTTCTCTCTATGCAGGCCAATTCCATTCTTCTTCATAGGTATCTTCAGGCCCTGACTTGGAACCTGATCTTATACCATAAAGAAACATCTACAGAAGGAAGGGACAAGGAGGCAGCGGAATGGCAGAATGCAGCTGGTAAGACAAGGGTTCTGTTTCTCATACACACCATCCCCTCCGTTTTCTATCTATTTAATCTACAAGACAGATGCCCAAAGTACGAGAGTACACCTGTTATTAGAACAAAAACATAATTTTCAACATGCCTGGGAGAGTGGCATTGGACATGCTCAGCATCAAAAGGACAAAGATACCCATATACTTCTATAGTAGAGTCGTTGTGATGCCAACCCAATAGGTCTGTAAAGAGACAACAATCCATGGTCGTGCAAAGCTAAAAATTTTCAGGCTAATCGTCGAAATATCACTTCCTCATTGAAGATGTTTGGCAATCGAGATTTTCTGTTGGTCTTCTCTTCCAACCAGAGACAGTCAACCATCAAAAAGGAATTATAAGAAATGGTACCTCAACAGTTGGCTCCTGTTGTGCTTCTGAAGCAAAACCATAAAATCTGCAGAAACTCACGAGGTGTTATTCTAGAATCAATTTTTTTCTTAAACAGTACAGAATGAAGCAAATGTCCTTCGTAATCCATATCTCAGCATGAAGGCATAGAAAGAAGGTCAAATGAGTACAACATGCAAAAAAGAAAAAAATAGGTCAGGTAACAAGTGAGCAGATATAAACCTTTGGCCAAAATACATGAGCTTTAGAGCAACGCATCTCCTAGGATGGTTATGAATGGTTCTCAGAAGGCAACCTGCATTGGTTGGAGAATCAACTTGTAAGTGAGCTTTGATAGCTTTGACTCAAGATGACATCGAGTTTACTTCTTTGGTTGGAGAAGTATTATGTGACAGCTTTGATAGCTTTGATTCAAAGTGTCATCTCAGAAGACAACTTGTAAGTGAGCTTACTTCTTTGGTTTGAGAAGTATTATGTGACAGTAATTTGAAGGCCCAATATCAGGCCAATGAAGAGGGAAGATTGGGAGAGGGGCGACAGGGCAAGGGGGGGATGCTCGAGAAACCATATCACTGAGGAGGGACTCCCAAATATAACTCCAGGTTATATAAAAGAGAGCAAACATCATTGCTACAAAAAGAAGAGTAATAAGAACGATCCAGGAGAGATCTGCATGCTAACTATGGGTCCATGGAATAATTAGATTCCGACAGAAAAAATTAGAGAAAACAACATTACTAGTAAATGATAGCACATGGGAATTTTTTATGTTCATAAAGAATTTTAATTGTATTATTGAGACTGTCATAAAAATAATAGATATCTGTAGGCAAATAGATAAATAAGAGATACTGTGATAATGCATCAAATTACAACATAGCATAGAATTGTCGAAAAATATGTAGAGCTCCGAACCTTTGAATTTCTCCGTCAACTCCTGCTTTGTACACTCATTTGGTTCATTGTAGGCGCTGTCTATTGGAGGAACCTCTTCCTGTCAGGAAATGCCCTCAAATTTTACAAAAGCCAGACATAGCATGATGAAAGCTGGCATTAAAAGCTGTCGAAAGTCATAAATTAGCCTCTGACCTTCACAGAAGCACTAAAATCCATGGAAGATTCAATCATTTGATCAACCATAGATTTATTAGAATGGTCACCTTCTTGGGAAGCTCCACTAACTCTCACACAAAACTGTTAATAAGAGAAGATGCAATAAATTAAAGTCTAGAAAAAAATCATTCCCGGCAGAAAATGGCGCAAACTTCGTTACGGTATACGAACAAGAGAGAGAAACTACAGACGAGACCTTCGAGCACCGCCGGCAGCTGGCCATCCGCGTCCGCAACAGCTGGTTCTCGCAATCCAGAAGCTGAATTCAAACAGATACCCTCCAATACTAGTTCAGCAACACCACCAACGAAGAAATCGGGGAAGAGGGAAAAGGAGCACGCGAACAAGCAACAGGGGTTATAGGGATCACAATGGATCCAGCACTCACCTCCAAGTGCCTCCGCAGGATCTCCATTTCCATTTCCCGATTGGCCGCCATTCTCTGCCCGCCTGTGCTGCCTCCAGAGGTGTCGCCAGCAGCATCGGTGGCCGCCATGTCTGCTCCCGCCTCCCCCCGAGAACTACCCACCGATTCTTCCTATTCCCGCTACTCGCCGTAGAGATTCCAGTATAACCCCAAAATAATGTCTAATTAATCCTAGACCCTGTTTTCATATTTATTCTATAATGAAGACAGACTAATTTCTGACACTTCCTCGTTCAAGAAATAAGAGCCGTTATCGCCTTCCTCACGTGTCAAATCGTCATAAGAGACCAAAAGGTGAGGTTGGCCCTCGACCGTTTGCAACATTTCATTTCAGCCCATATGGAATTATTTTATGGAATTTTATCATCTATTCTCCGAAAAATACCCCAAAAGTTAAATTTTCTCAAATTCTAAATGACATCAGTAGGGAAAAGGGGGCATATATCTGAATTCGCTACAATCAGGTGCCAGATAATAATAAAAAAATACCATATGCCTTTAAAACCTAGGAGTTCAGCTTCCTCATTCAAAATGAAGCTATCTGCCGCTGCAGCATAAACAGCTGGCCCACCTCCGCCGCCAAACTCCCATTTCATTCTCTCTCTCTCTCTCTCTCTCTCTCGGAAGATTCTCTCTCCCGCAAGCACCGGCGGTAATAGAGAGTAATAATGCTGGTGCTGGGCCATTAAAGCGGAAGTAGATGGAGAATTCGGGTGAACCAGACGGAAATTTCAAGTGCTGGGATCTTACAGCGGCAGAAGACGAGGAAAGCGGATCTCGGTCATTTGCTGATTTCGTCGTCCGAGGAGGGCAAGTCTTCTACGTCCTGCGAGCAATCTTGGGCTATCTGACGGAGTTTTCTTCAGCCTCCTGAAGCACATCCTGGGTTTTTGGAGAGATTTCTGCGTCTATCAGGTTCTTCCTCGTTGGTAATTGTTGGCCCTTTCGGACCGGAAGAAGGGGAACGGAATATCGAGGGAACTGCTGTTTTCTCCTTCTTGAAGCTGTGATTTAACTGACGTTCGGAGTGCTGCAGGAGAAGAGCGAAGGAAAGATGCGAGAGAGAAAAGATGAAGATGGGGAAAGATGAAGGACGAATGAAGCCTGTTTTATGCCCATTGTTCGTCACTCGATGGCTTCTCTTCCCTCCTGCTCTTGAGACAAGAAGGGACCCTAGGCCTCCTGAGGTGGAACCAGAGCATCTCGGGGAGGGAAGATCTGGCCGTAAACACGGCCAGGTTCGTTGAACCTATAAACATCCGTGTTACGATAGACGGGTCAGGCAACACCTAGCTGGGGATCTAACGCAAAATTTACATGATTCTATTAATTGAGCAGAACATAGGCACAATAATTAAGAATTTGGAGCTCTTTCTAGGACATTCCGTTGGGTGGCGCCGGATTTTCTTTCCTTCATCTGCCTGTGTTCTTGGATCGAGTACCCATTTTAGTAAACGATTAGACCCCCAGAAATGGCGTTAACGATGAAGGCGGGCCTCATAGGAGATGCTTTCTCCTTGGGATTGATTACTGATGTTAGGCGGAGAGAGAGAGAGAGAGAGTCAGATGGTGTTTACTACAATATCTTTTACAGGACGAACTATATATAATGAATAAATTGCTATGTATAAGCCTCTTGTCTGTCAGACGTATGTCCGCCCACAGAGTGGCCTTGTGCTCAATCAAGTCATCAGTTTAGAATAAGATCGATTAAGATCAGATTTGTTGGCTTTCTTTGAGAGAGGACCGCATTTATGGAGGAAGGCTCGTGAATTAACGCGGACTACTGCAGCTGGGGTGGCTGTGCTGATAAGGGTTCTCCGTGTCTCTAGAAGTATTTACTATGAATCTGGTCGGCTTCTGGCGTATCGTTCACGAAGCAGCAGTGGAGAGGAGAATAAACCTGTTTACGGTCACTGGGCGAAGTGTGCTATATGCTGTTAGTCCGTATCTTTATCTCTCTGTGTCTCTGCGCGCCTCTCTCTCTTTTCCCCCTTTATCTCACTGTTCAAGCACAATATCTCTCAACGATGGGCAACAAGCACCTGCAGCAAGCCATGGTAAGAGAGTAAAAGTTTCTTCTTTATCCGAGCATCATAAGACAGTCTACAAGCCCTCTCTCTCTCTCTCTCTCTCTCTCTCTCTCTCTCTCTCTCTTTCTCTCACTCACTCTCTATCTGTCTTGGCCAAGGTAATAACACAAATGCGTCATATGCAAAGAAAAATTGTGCCTGCTTGATTCTCATCTTCTCTCTTCCTTGTGGGATTCATTGGCATCGTCACTATGAAAGAAGAGAATCTTAGAAAAGAAAGAGACATACAAAACCTGACAGGGCCACGAAAGGTGAAGCTGCAGTTTGGTTTACCTCTCCTTGCCCACAACAACGACCAGGTTCGATGAATGTGGGTCATCTTTCCCCAAGTTGGTTCACTCACTACCTTACACGGAGTATTCATATATAGTAGGGAGGTTTGTGGTTGAATCCACGCAGAGATAGTAGTGGATGGGGAGCCGAAGCTGATTTCAAGGCCAGTTGTGTTGTCCCCGTACACACAGAAACATAGATAGATAGCGAGAGAGAGAGAGAGAGAGAGAGAGAAACGACGTGTCGAAACTGGAAATTGAAGACCAAGTTCTCTCAAACACTTCATTGTGGTAAAGGAGAGAGGGAGCTCTCCGAATGAACTCACTGAAGTGTTTGGGGGAACTCTGGGCATCATTCAATTTTCCTGTTTTCTATTATTCTGCTGTCCCCACTGGGAAAATATGGTTGTAGGGATTTTTATTTTTCTCATACTGCTTTGATCTTTATATTTCTATTGACGATGACTACTTCCTGTTATAATCTGGTCTAGACCTTGCTGAAAAATCTCAAAACATTTGTAAGACCGCTGATAAATTCTGTTTTAGGGAAATAACTAAGGCATGATTGAAAATTGGTGAAAATAAACATGCACAAAGTCTAGACCTTGCCAATGTCAAAACTAATTAAAGCATATCGATTTAAAACTCCATGTGGTTTAATATTTTGGCGTTTTTCTCTTGTAGGTCAAAATCCATTAATCTATTTGCGCACCATATGCATGCATACATATATCAGATATAAGTTTGCAAATTATGTCAATAAACAACATATCTCTAAATTAAAACATTGATTTTAAGGGAGGCAATTTTTTTTCATATTTAATGCTTGGAATGAAAAAAATACTTTGGACTGATGGATTGAGATTCGTAGGTCCTTAAAGGTCTACTAGGGTTTTTTTTATCCAAATCTATACATCAAGACCTTGTGACTTTTTTAATCCCATCTGAGTTGGATAAGAGTTACTATTTTTAGTAAATTCTATGTATGCAATGTCCAAAGATGCTTATCCCTTGTATCATGCTAGAATAGCCATTGCATTGTGTAATACATTTAAGGCTCCTATTAATGTCCATGATCCCTAACTACTTGTTATGTTGCAACATAATTAAACTGAAGTGGAATTTATATTGTTTAAAGAAATATGTAGCTAGGTAGAGACTCATCTATAACTTTATACTCAATTGTTTCTAAGCAAGAAAACTTGGATTATGTCATATGGTGATTTCCAAATTATCTAGGATAGCCAATCTATTCAATCTTGTAAGTCTGTGGACTTGATCTTTCTTTTGGGGATCATTTTACTATGAATGACAGTTGTAACTTTCAATACAACTTTCAATGATTCGGGCTTTACCATAGGTCCCTTGATTGATGCTTTAAGACATCACTAAATGTGATGCATTTAAAGCCAAACTCTTGATAAATAAACTGTTGTATGGACAAATTATAAGGTGGAGGGTCATAATCCTCAATACTTTTGCCTTATAGTCTTTTACTCGGGTAAGCTCCACCCATTGTTGAGCTTAATGCATAAAAATCTTTTACAATCAATAACATTATCATCTGAAACGACTTATAGATGATAAGGAATGAGACCAATGTACAAAACTAGTGTCAGTTCTCTTGCCAGTGGAAGTGTTTAGTTCTTTTTTTTCTACTTTCACCAACTTTGGTAAGTTAAGTGTGGAGACCACATCTCTCTACACCTCTACATTTCTTCACACACATTCATCATCATAAATTAGGGTGTGCTGCAAAGAAACCCTTCTATTGTCCTCAAAGCAATAGAAATATCTATTGATGAGCATCAAACAAACTTGACTTTCAAAGGGAAATAGCCTCTAAAAACAAGGAGACTACTCTTTGCATTAACAACTTCCGAACATGCAATGTGGAGATGTTTCAGTAAAGGTATACGGAAATCTTCCATATAGAAACTCTTTGCATTAACAACCTTCCATCAAGTTGTCATATGAAAATCTTCTGTGGGTTGTCACATCTTATTAGAACAACCCCAACAAAGCAATATAAGTAGCATCTCAATTGTGAGCATATATATGGTTGGTGGGTGTTGGGTACTTCCCTAGAGCAGGCCAAGGTTAGGAAGCAATAATATAAGGAATTAACTTTAGAACAAGTTGACTTCTTCTTGTAAGTCATTTCATTGAGTCCAATTGATTACAAATAAATAGATAGGTAGAAAGATATAGTGTGTGTGTGTGAGATATATATGCATATATATATATATATATATATAGATAGAGAGAGAGAGAGAGAGAGAGAGAGAGAGAGATAGACAAACAAACAAACATAGACAAAGAAAGGAACAGACAGAGATAGAAACAAAGTAAGTCATCAAAACAAGTGTTATACAATCCAATGGCTTCTATTTCCTCTATTGAGAAAATGTTGGAGTTTGATGTGGTAAAACTATTTTGGAGGCTGACAGAGGTTTTTTGATTTCCTCCATCTTAATGTCAACTATGAAAAATGCTGTATTTGCTTGAAACTTGTTGGTTTCGCTTAAATCTAGTTAATCTACATATGATAACACATAAGAACCTGCCCTTGGGAGGGAAACAAGGGAGAAGCAGATGGATAATTACCTACATCCGAAAGAAATAGAAGAGTACTCTTTCCTAAAAAAGAGGAGAGAAAATAGTTGGATAAGTTAGTGCTATGCTTTTCCACATGGAAATGAAA